GTGATGTAATGCTAAATTTCTCTGAATCTGAAGACATAAACTCATCTGCATATTGTGCCTGTGAAGTTGCAGTTTTTGCATGTTTTCTTTTTCTGACATGATGATGCACATGAATTCAGCATGGGCCAACTGACAGTCTACTATAATGAACAGTTATTGGCATTACAAATATTGACCATAAGGAAAAGGAGCTTTAATAAATACGTTTAAACAGTCTAAAAAGCTAAAAAGCACATCTAGGCTTTTCATGGGACTATCTGGCAGCAAGAAGAAAAAAGGTATGACACCAAAGGCATTACAAAGTACATCAAAGTTGTTTTCAGGTTTCGGAAAGTCAAAAGCTACAGAAGATGACAAAAATAAAAAAGAGGAGGGTGGAAGAACACTCTTATTACTCAGTATTGGTGGAAAGGCAAATAAAAATGCAGCAGCTACCTCTGGACTAGGAGGCAAATTCAAAGCGTTTTTTGGTAAAAAGAAAACTGGAGCTGCACAATTCAAGAGTAAAGGATGGGCTCTGGGGAAGATATCAGGAGCAGCAAACTGGCTAACTAACAAATTCATCTCATCCAAAACATCTAGAAGACTAGGTCGCTCTGTTCGTTATGACAGGTCAAGTGTGGGGCAATATCATGGCTATCAGAATGGAGGTTATGAATATGATGAGGGTGAGTTCAGCTATGAGGAAGATGACTGTGTTCAAAGCAGTTATAGCAGAAATAATCCCCGGGAACGATATAGAAGCAGAAATCATGACAGCTATGGTCAGGGGAGCTTCAGAGGACCACATCAGTATGACTACTTTGAAGATGACCAGGAGTATTATGATTATCCTGAAGATGAGTATAGATTCTATGATGAGGAGAATGATTATTATGATCCCATGTATGAGGATGAGTATGGCTATCTTGATGATCTTGACTATTATGATCAGTATCAGTATGATGGAAGACAACCTTATGGTTATTATGATGACAGAATGGACTATGATTACAGACACCAGAGAATTGATGAATTTGGATACCCTGTTGATGGTATGGAATACTACGATGAAATGGGTTATGCTATGGAAGATGAATTTGGCTACCTTGGTAATGATGTGGAATATTATGACTATGGATACTATCCAGAACAGTTTGACTATTATGGTGATCAGCAAAATTATTATAATCACTATGATGGTGTTTCAGATGCCTACATGATGTATCCAGGAAATCAAAATGCATACAATCAAAACCAGTACATCTACAATGGAGAAACCGGTGCAGTTTACATTGACCCTCAGATGGTTGTTAACCAGCCATTTATGTACACGGTGGAAGATGTCATGGAACCAACAGAATCCTCAGAACCGTATGGTAATGAATATGTACAAATACCAAGAGAAGGAATGTTGACTGAGGATTCATTCAGATTCCCAAGACCACAAGTAAAATTGTTTGGAAAAGAAAAACTTGACATTTCAAGTCCAGTGTCTCAGTTTCCCAGGAATGATCTTGAGATGATTCCAGACCAATTTGAAAACCAGCCTCTTCCTTCGCCTATGAGCTTTCCTCTATATATTCCACAGCAACCGGAGACTGTACAATGGTCATTATCTCCCACACCTATATTAATTCAGCAAGTACCATCACCTATTATTCCACCTAGTAGTCCCATTTTAACTCGATCACCCCAAATACCATCCTCACCTGTTTTTCAAGCAAGACCCTTTTTGTCTCCAATGCCAGTGTCACCTGTCCCAAGTAGACATTCTTTTGGACCTGTTGGACCCATACCACTCTCAACACCAGCATCTCCAGTTCTGTCTGCAAGGAGATTCGATCCAACTATGGGTGATCCAGTATCTCCCCATTTAGTCTATCCAGATCCCATGTTTCAGAGACTTGATTTTCCACATGAAAATATCCAACCAATAACACTGAGACAATTTAACCATCTCCCCTCACCACAGCTCTCTTTAAGACAAAGCAATTTTTCAACTCGAAGCAGCCCTGTGCCTCGCCAAAGATCTGATATGTATGAGGAAATGTGTCCGAGGTTCTCATCAAGGCAGTCTAGAATGTTTGGCCCACCTTCAAACAATAATAATGCACAAAGGCAGTTCTCTCCTACTCAAAGACGAAAATTTAGCCCCCCTTCTTCTCCACAACCATCCAGACGAGCGTCATCACCATTAGCTTCTTTAAGGGGAAAATCTCCAAACCCCCAAAGAAAGCCATTTGGTTCTAGAGCACCATCCCCTCTTGTTAATGGAAGAGAGAGTCCTCCAATGTCTCCACGAGGCTCAATGAGAAAAAGAAGTCCTCCTTCTTCGCCTAGACCAACCCTGAGGCAAAGAGCTAGTCCTGCTCCTCCAATAAAATCTCGTTTCAGGCCAATTGGTAGAAGCAATCAGGAGTCTTTCATGTCATCAAGATCTATGAGGAAAAGCTCTCTTTCACCCCAACCATCATTACAGAGGATGAGCCCTCCACTATCTCCAACAATAGGCCAACAGTCACCAGAGGAGTGCTCTCCATACCCACCCCGCAGAGCCACATCTTCCATCCAAAGACCTGTGTCTCCAAGACCAATATCCCCCTTTGCTTCTAGATCTCAGAGACCTCTTTCACCATCACCATCAGCATTTTCTGGCAGAATTCAACATGACCCACAACATCTACCTACTCGTTCATCCACACATAGATTCAGAGGATTTGGTGGGAACAAAGTGCCAATGGGAACAGTTAAGCCATCTCCTGTCAATCCAAATTTTCAAAGAAAAGGTCATCATGGTACTCCTCAAATGCAAAATGTCGCTCCATTCAGATCTTCCATCCATAATGCATCCATGGGTTCAGGAGCTTTGAATCAAAGTGCTAGATCCTCCCCCATCATGTTGGCAAGACAAGGTTCCAGACCAGCAGGGTTTCAAGACTCAAAGAGATTCTTTCCACCTGGAACACCAAATCCACAAAGAGGTTTTCATAGACCTGTTGGGCGAGGGCGTCCTGTTGTGAGAGTACCAATAAGTCCTGTTTCTCTCAGGCAATCGATAACAGGCCAGAGTTGTCCTCTTTTAATGAATGCTCAACCACCTTTTCCTCAACAGTTTCCGATAAAACAGCCTGGAATACCATCACCACAACTCTCTATGAGACATTTTCCAACCCCATGTCCATCACCTCAGCTTTCAGTGAGAGCTAGTTCACCAATGTCTGTACTCTCTCCATCGCCGATCCTCTCATCCTCTATACAGAGAAATGCTCTGCATAATGAATTAATCAATCGTGCCTCACTCAGATCACAATTTCCATTGAGTAGCACTCCTCAGCCTCAAGTAATAACTGAATTTGCCCAGACATTTGAACAAGGGTCATCTCCTCTACTAACAAATGCTTTACAGAACCCAAATCTGGCTGCTGCTTCATTCAGTTCACCTTTTCCAAGGTTTAAATCCCCAATGTCGCAGATTAACCAAAATTTATCTCAGAGCTGTTCTCCAGATTTTGCAAATGCATTGCAAAATCCACTTCTCCGTAATGCCACTTACCGCTCACCTCTGCAAAGGTCTGCATCTCCTCATTCTATAGTGGCATCTCAAGAGGTTCAGGTAACTAGTCTGAGTTCTTCTCCAATGCTCTCTAATGCATTGCAAAACCCTTACCTACGTAATGCGTCTCTCACTTCCCCACTGCAAAGAATCACATCTCCATATTCTTCCACAGCTGCTCAGCAGGAACCGCAAAACATTTTGCAACCTTCTTCGGTCCTAACCAATGCACTAAAAAATCCTCAGTTACGCAGTGCTTCATACATCTCTCCTCTTCAGCGGAATACATCTTTATATGCTCCAGTGATGTCACAACCCGAACAGCAAGCATCAGTATTATCAAATGCACTTAAGAATCCTAACTTAAGAAATGCATCCTATTCTTCTCCTTTACAGAGAAATCCTACTCCTTTCCAGCAAGCACAGGATTATTCCTCCCCTTTGTCAAATGCATTAAAGAATCCAAACCTTCAAGGTGCCTCCTTTCGACTACCTGATACATCAATAATATCAAGGAATTTTGGAGGCCAAAAAGAGGAGATGACTACATCTGTTCTGTCAAATGCTTTGCAAAACCCTAGTCTCCGGAAAGCAACTTATAGGCTCCCAGATGGTACAATAATATCAAGAAATGAGCCAGCACAACCAGCTCAATCTTCTTCACTGTTATCCAATGCTCTCCAGAATCCTAACATTCGAAAAGCAAGTTACAGGCTTCCTGATGGAACACTTGTATCCAATAGCACTGATGAAGCCGCGGACACAACAAATTCCTCACCGTACCTGGGAAGAGCTCTACAGAATATTAACCTGCGTAAAGCATCCTATAAACTACCTGATGGCTCTCTCTTTTCTCGAAACCAACCAGCAGAACAGTCATCCTCTCCACTTCTTTCAAGTGCTCTTTTGAATTCAAACCTTCGTAAAGCTTCCTACAGACTTCCTGATGGAACACTTTTGACTAAGAGCTCTGAACAAGAACCAGAGAAATCAATTTCTTCTAATTTGTCAAGTGCACTACAAAATGTTGGTAAGGCCAACTATCGCTTACCTAGTACCTCTGGCCTGTTTAGAAATCCAAAACAAGAGCAAGCTCCCCCTTCAATGCTGTCCAGTGCCCTTCAGAACCAAAACCTTCGTAAAGCATCTTACAGATTGCCTGATGGATCAGTCATGACAAGGGGTCAACCAGCTCAAAGTGAATCTCCCACATCACCCTTCCTGGGAAATGCCTTGACGAACGTTAACTTTCGTAAAGCATCCTACAAGTTACCGTCAACACTGGGATGTTCTCCAGAGGACCCAAGGTATGCAGTAGTGACCCCTCAGATTCAGGGCCAGTCTGGTGAACACTGGGCTCAAAATCAAATAATAGATCTTCATGAGCCAGATGATGTCTGGTCTTCAGAAAGAGTCCTCCCTCATCATACTGTTCAGAACCTCACAAAATGGTCCATGTATAGGGATGAAGAACTGGAGAATTTTGTCATCCCTGTGTTTCCTGGCCAAGAGACAGATAGCACAGAACCTGCATGGCTACCAGATAGAGAAGGTGAACCTCAAGGGAACTGGTATGATAAGGTAACATAACTGGCATATAGTTGCTCTATATAAGAAATCGTTGCTTAGTTTTTGTTGCCATCTAGACTTTACCTGTGAAATTCTCATACACTAGAAATAAATACACTAGAAAAAAATAATACAATGTCTGTGCCACTAAAATGATGCTATGATATTACTGATCTGAAGCTTCAGATTAAACAATTAGATTAGAAAGACTGAAATTTAGGTTTAAAACTAGGGGTTAAAAATAATAACAGGCAATGTCAAATGTCAAACGAAAATATTATGACTTGGCTATCTGGATTGGTTACTAGATATTAGGCAATATAGACTATGGATGACTGGATGGATCTTTTTTTTTTTTTAGAAGTAATCAATTAAAATAGAAATGACTTGGCAAACTCAAAACAAGAACAATAACCACAATGCACCAAAATACACCTACCACGCCAGCTATATTACAACAGCATCAGGTATAATTTCAACAGACTTTAGTCAGGGTAGCAGCATATTTAATTTTTTGACAGAAGTACAGTGTGCTCAATTGATTGTACATGCCAGTTATTGACAAAATATCTTTCCAAAACATCTTTATGTAAACAAAAACTCAAAACCATGCATGTCCTTGCAAAGTCTATAAGACTTGTAAGCCTGTCCCACAGCTTCATTTTCATTTTTGTAAAATTCAATATGACATCCACCCTGACTAAGGTCTATAAGTAAAAATGGTGTGAAACATTGGCCTTATATAATGATTGGTTTACACATTGTTTACACAATTTTCTTTTACTGAAATGCTTTTTAGATGTACTCAATTCGAAGCCTGCCCACAATGCTGTACCGTGAACGTGCAGAGGAGGATGGCTTTGAGGACATGACACAGCTTGAGTATGAAATTACTGAATAAGATGAATGCGAAATACAAACACACACACACACACACACACACACACACATGTTGGTATTGGTGGTTTACGGGGACTCTTCATAGGCGTAATGGTTTTTATAGCGTACAAACTGTATTTTCTATCGCCCTACACCTAAACCTACCCCTCATAGAAAACTTTCTGCATTTTTACATTCTCAAAAAAAAAAAAAAATGTAGGTCCCCACGATGACAAGAGTCCCCATGAGTCCGTGTGCATTCGGGTTTAAGTCCTCACTGGGATAGAAAAACATGTACACACACACACACACACACACACACACACAAACACAGTATATATGATAACTTAAATTTTGTGTTCACATTTAAAAGAAAATGCTTTGTTAAAGAATAAAACTCTTTCCAGGGAACTGCACGAAGGTGCTGTGTTACTGAATTTGAAGAAAAGGTTTGAACGCAATTTGATATATGTAAGTAAATTGCAAAGTCCACTGCATATTTGCATATCTTAGTTATAAAGAAACACATAAATGTACTATTCATGTGTTTCTTTAGAACTAAAAAGTATATATTTTAAAACCACTGGTTAAATAATATTAAAATGCTATTATACTGTAAAAAATGTATTACTAAGAATTTTGCATGAACTTTAAAATGAAATAAAATGAATTCAATTCTAATTAAATTCTTTAATGAACTATAATCAAAAACAGATTATTAACTAATAATTTTGTTTTCTTCCAAGACTTATATTGGAAGTATCCTGGTGTCTGTTAATCCATACAAGATGTTCAACATCTACGGAACAGACATGGTTCTGCAACACAAAGGGCATGCGCTTGGAGAGAATCCTCCGTAAGTTTATAAATAAATAAATAAGTAAATAAATAAATTCATTCATTCATTGATTCATTCACAATAGTAAATGAACAAATGAATTCATTTACAGTTTTTTTGCACTGGCACTGTTATAAAATGAACTTTCTTATCAATGCAAGGCTAATTGCTTACATTGTACTTTTTTCTTTCATTTGTTGTGCTTCTCCATTGTGTCTTCAGACATCTATTTGCCATTGCAAATGCTTCATACACAAAAATGATGGATGCCAAAGAAAACCAGTGCATTATTATCAGGTAGGATTAAGGTACACTTTGATCTCACAGAATGTAAGTGAAATATTTAAAATATATTTAAACACTGTTCAACTTAACTTAACTCATAATTATGTGGTATGGAAGATCAAACAAAGGAATTGTCAGAATTCAAATAGCTGATCTATGTCCTGTCACCTCAAGTAGTCTTTTACATTGATGGAACCATCAGTGTCAGTTCTACTTGACACAACTGATCTTCTGGAAAACTTTAAACCTAGCTCTGATGGAGATAGCTGTAAGGAAAGACTACTGATGTCTAGGCCATGATTGCAGCAGCAGATCATGTCTCTGTGAAATACACCCATGGCTGTTCACAGTAGCTGGAACGACAGTTACACTCAAGCATTCAGTTTCACTTCTGTCTGCTGATCAGACACCTAACTCATTACTTAAGTGCATAGCAAAAGACAAGGAAATCGTTTCCTCGCATGCCAAGCCACATTCTGTGCCGATTTAAAGTGCAATTAAGTAGTTAAACTGGTTATTTAGGGGGTTACAGTCATCATGTGGTTTAAATGTGCTTATTGCCTTTCAGTGGGGAGAGTGGCTCTGGTAAAACAGAGACCACAAAGCTAGATCATGTCTCTGTGAAATACACCCATGGCTGTTCACAGTAGCTGGAACGACAGTTACACTCAAGCATTCAGTTTCACTTCTGTCTGCTGATCAGACACCTAACTCATTACTTAAGTGCATAGCAAAAGACAAGGAAATCGGTTCCTCGCATGCCAAGCCACATTCTGTGCCGATTTAAAGTGCAATTAAGTAGTTAAACTGGTTATTTAGGGGGTTACAGTCATCATGTGGTTTAAATGTGCTTATTATCTTTCAGTGGGGAGAGTGGCTCTGGTAAAACAGAGACCACAAAGCTAGTTCTCCGGTACTTAGCCGCAATACATCACAAACAGAACATCACACAGCAGGTATGAGTTAAGCTCATGAACTCTTTTAAAACTGTTAGAATTCAGTTCATGCACACTTTTTAACTAATCTTTTTCTTCTATTTAACTTTTATGCAACGATACAGATTGAGGTATTGTACTTCTGTTTGGCCTTCTGTTGTTTGTACCCTATATGTTGCATGAGTTGTTGCACTTTGGGATATGCAAGTGTGCAAAAGCTTTTTTTTATTACCTATAAAATATTAATATATATATATATAATAATAATAATAATAATAATAAATAAATAATATAATTATTATTTATAATAATAAATAATAAAGTAAAAAGTGTGTTGTTCATATTGTTCAAGTGATCATATGCACTTTTTGCTTAATGGAAGACAGTAAAATTAAGACTTGTCATAGATTGTATCTTGTAAAAAGTGTAATTTGTCTTATTGCACTGGCAGATTTTTTTAACATGTTAAACAAGTTAAAAAACAAGTGAAAAAATCTGCCAGTGGGTGCAGTAATACAATATACACTCACATTCAAGATAGAATCTATGAATGCATTTCTCATGCAGTGTTGCTTATAAAATATTAATATATATATATATAATAATAATAATAATAATAATAAATAAATAATATAATTATTATTTATAATAATAAATAATAAAGTAAAAAGTGTGTTGTTCATATTGTTCAAGTGATCATATGCACTTTTTGCTTAATGGAAGACAGTAAAATTAAGACTTGTCATAGATTGTATCTTGTAAAAAGTGTAATTTGTCTTATTGCACTGGCAGATTTTTTTAACATGTTAAACAAGTTAAAAAACAAGTGAAAAAATGTGCCAGTGGGTGCAGTAATACAATATACACTCACATTCAAGATAGAATCTATGAATGCATTTCTCATGCAGTGTTGCTTTTTTAAGTAAATTTATCTTGTTTTAAGTATTTTAGATAGTTTAACAGGAATTAAAAGGATAGTACTTTGCAGTGTTGTATAATTACAGCAGTTTATTGCTACATTGCTTATTCTACAGATTCTTGAAGCAACTCCTCTTTTAGAGTCTTTTGGAAATGCCAAAACTGTACGGAACGATAACTCCAGTCGATTTGGGAAATACATGGAAATATTTATGGAAGCGTAAGTTCATCAATATCAAGTCTCTTTACTGTGTTATGGACATACCTATTAAGAGTAAGCATTTCTTTGGAGTAACTTTACAACTGAAAGAAGATAACAGGGTCAAGATTAACATGAGGCTAGTTAAAAGGCCTGTATGTTGGTGTACATGGGTTAAGTTGCAAATTACATATTAATGCTTGTCTGATTTTCTTGCTTCAAACAGAGGGGTAATCAGCGGTGCCATAACCTCACAGTATCTACTTGAAAAGTCCAGGATTGTGTTTCAGGTACTTTACATAATGCTCATATGGACATTTAAAATTTCATCATTCAATAAACAAATTCTTTATAGACGTCTGAAAGGTTAATTTCTTTAATTTTTATCTCTTAGGCCAAAGATGAAAGAAACTATCACATTTTTTATGAGATGCTTGCAGGCCTTCCTTCACAGCAGAAACAGTCTTTATACCTTCAAGACGCAGAGACGTATTATTACCTCAATCAAGTGAGGCCATGTTTTAATCATCTAGATCATTACAGCAATAAAAGCCTCAAAAATTCAAAAGCACTGCTGTTAAACTGCTTTTCACTTTCGTGGATGCTCTTTTTGGTTGCAAGGGTGGAGACTGTGAGATTGTTGGCAAAAATGATGGGGAGGACTTCCGCAGGCTCCTCAGCGCTATGGAAATACTTCACTTCAGTGCCGAAGACCAGAGTGGAATCTTCAGGATCCTGTCTTCCATCCTCCACTTAGGAAATGTCTTCTTTGAGAGATATGAGGTACAGTGAAATTCAATCAAATGTATCTTCCTCACTTGGATTTCTTTCTTGTTGATGTGTTATGATGCCCTTTTTTAGTGGTGCCATGAATTAAGTTTCTTTTTTTTGACTCCATATCTTGGCAGACTGAATCTCAGGAAGTGGCATCAGTTGTAAGTGCTCAGGAGATCCGAGTGGTGGCTGAAATTCTACAGATTTCCCCAGAGGGTCTACAGAAGTCCATTACTTTCAAAGTCACGGTAAGAAAAACCTGCTTGATAATGTCTTCAATACTAAACATTATCACATGTTACATAACACAGATGTAGTTTCTATTTTTGGGTATGCTTTATACTTAGTTGAAACAACTTATTTAATAAAATGAAAATGCTATTATACTGTAAATATTTTATTATTGTAACATTAGAGTCCACTTGGGTTTCAGTTGTGATGAAACCCAAGTGCAGTTTGATATCCAGAAGACTTGACTTGATCATACTTGGCTTGACAAAGAAACATGAAATGAACAAGAACTTAAACCTGAACATAAAACATGACACTCACCAACAATGGTTACAGGAGACAAAGCTAGAAAAGAGACAATAGCAACATGAGGGCTATATCAAACAAAATGGGTGACACAATCCAACCAATGAGAAACAAGACACATGACCAAAACAACTTGAACATATGCTAGCAAATGTAAAAAAAAGTAAAAAATAAAAAAAAGTCCCTCTAGTTATCTTCCTCTCATCTAACTGCTACAGGAGTACCTGTATTACAGCAGCAATATCAAATCTACTTATAGCGGGGATTGTTATATACAGCAGCCCAAAAACCTTTGGACGCTTAAGTCAAATTTTTCATTATTTTTTTTGCATTAGACAATTGTCTTAATGCATTGTTGTTATTTTATTGCACTGGATAATAAAAGAAACCATCAATGCAAAATTAATTTTTTTCTCAGAACTAGCATTATTTTCAGAGCCATTTTTGCGCAAAATTTTACTGGATTTACAGATGATTTTCACTAGATGTAGGAAGTCAGTTTCCCTCAAGGAAAGAAGTCAGTTTCCCTCAAGTACACACTGTAGTTCAGCAAATTAACTCTAAACATATTACATTAACGTTTGAGAACCACAAAGAGTCAATTTTGAACAAATGTTTTGTTTTTAAGTGCTTAACTGAAAAGCATGCTATCTTTCTCTATAATAGATGACAACTGCTTTGTCATAATGACATTCATAGACTTAATGGCTTGAGTGTCTAAATATTTTTGCAGCCACTGCATATTGTGTTTCACATGAACTGACACTGTTTGACACTGTTTGAGATAGACTGGACTCGAGGACATTAACAGGAAGAGTCAGTGACTCACCTCTAGACCTTACATGACCTCCAGGCAGACCTTACGTCAAGGTCCCACGCCAAGTATCAACATACTGTTAGTGAAGGATTTATCATTACATCGTTTTCTTTAAATAATTTTTCTTGGAAACACAACCATCCAAATGTCAAGACTGCTCAATTTGATAGCAAGCACAAGACACCAAAAGAAAGCCGCAAATGGTGCGTATAAGCCCCAAATCCCTCAGATAGTATAACATGCCAAGTTGATTATGGCAGGGCAGCAGGCCATATCACTGTGGTAACTCATGTAACCCAGTCAGGGAAAACCCTGGGCAGAAACAGACATCAAGGTGCCCTGAAGCCATATCAGCCTCCCATCATAGACTGTGTTTTTATGTCTTTATTGTGTAGCAAATACCATCCAACCCTCTGCAGGGGTGCCACCAAGAGGTCTGACACAGTATTAACCCTGCTTAACCAGTCCATCACAATCACATTCAACATCTCCAAAACCTAAAAGGCTGTTCTACTGTGAATACACTGCGATCAAAAGGATTGTGTAACAAAACTTTACTTTCTGCAACAGTGCTCACCAACTTTTTCAGCAGTTTAAGAAGTATTCTTCTCATTCATTTTTTTTCTTGTAAGGGTTTTAAATAAGGCTTTGTTATAAGTTACTTAAGTTATATTGTTGAAAGTTATAAGCCAGGAAACAAGCCGTGAATTACAACATAACAACAATTATAACATAACAAACTTTGATTTGAAGGGGAAAAAGTGCTAAAATGGGACAAAAAGACAATATAAGACTGTGTACTAAATAGCTTTAATGAAGAAAAAAATACAATCCCTTGAAGCATTGTGAATGGCATAATACAATTAAAAATGATGAGAAACAAAACTACTGATTCAAAGATAAAGAATATATTGTACATTCATTGTTATGCATATTATGCATACAAATATTGAAATACTTTGAGAGTGTAGGCAAATTGACTCAACATTCGTCATTTGCAGTGCTTCATGGGAATGGGCAGCTGCTAAAGAGTTTTTTGGTGCTATTTGCTTGTCATAATTCTTTGATTGGTGGAAATTTCTCATGAGTAATGTCGTTTTCTACCAGAAATTCTGCTGTTGAACACAATTATTTAAATATATGTTGAAATTTCCCTATGAAGAATATACATGGGAGTTTTACTTCTGGAACCCCAATGTTGCACTCTATAAACTAAAGAACATCTTAGTATAGATCTATGGTGTAGTTATGGTATTACCAAGCGGGGCTAACTCAACCTTGCTAACTAGCCAAACCTTGACCTTCTGCATCAGACAAACCTGCCTTAAAATCACACCACTGCTTGAGCCAATGACACTGTCATGCTGATCGAGACAAAACAAGCAATGCTATGACAAAGATATTGTGAATGAGGGATGGAGAAATATTTTAACTGTTTACATTAATAATATAACAAAACATGATGATAGATAGCAGCTGCAAATGCATGCTACATATATATGCTCCTATTTCAGTCTAATAATTTATATCAATTCATGAAAAGGCAAGGCCCAATAGTAAAATCTCTCAGATGTGTCAATTAAAACAAATAGAGAGCTTATTCAAATGTTCCTATTCAAACCTGAGAAATGTTTGAAACTATCCAAAATTCCACGCCAACAAAAGGAAAAGTCTTTAAAGTTCCAGCATTCCTTGTCCAGTACAGTTTCTGGAAATGAAGAAGCATCCAGGGTTTTTAAAAAAGAAGATGTTTCCTTATGAACTCCCAATTGTTTCCATTTCACATATTTTCCATCTGAGGTATGTAGAGTTGATTCTTAACCTTCCTCTGATGGACACCATCAACATATGCGTATTCTGTTTCAGCATCTTTCCTCACTTCAGAGCCATATCAGTTCCTGATTTCAGATGTATCATCGAAAAACCTTTCATATGATCCTTCACACAGCATCTTGTTTCAGATCAGCTTTTGTCTCAGTTGGTCTTGGATAGAGCCAGTGCTCATCAATGTTCACAGTCCCATTGCCATGTTGAAATGTGCTAAGTCATTTAGAGTACTACTCATGGCTGCTACTGTGACACCTCTGAGGGCTCTTAAAGTAATTTAGCTAATTCTTTTCATTAGAGAATCAGGTACTCCCTATGTAACAGGAGAGGACCGTACTCAAAGTAATTTCGCTTTGTCCAACTGAATTGCATGGTGATCTCATGCTACCAGGCTTTTCTTATCTGATGAAACCATTAAAGCCCTGCTTTCAGACATCGAGACCAGAATTTTATCCCGCTAAGAGACAGATATATCCAAGTAAAGTGAATGCGAAGGAGAATTCTTCTACCACAACGTTAAACTATTTAAGGAAAGATTTTTTATTTAAAGGCCTTAATGTCATCAGTTGAAAGGGATTAGTATTGTCTTGCCACAGATGCCGGGGTGTGTTTACATCTACCGACACTAGCGCTGTAGGCTGCTCCTCTTATAGGGCCATATCAGTTTCACTTGCCTACTGATAGTGCCTTAGCAACATTTCATCTCAAAGAGATCAGCAACATTTGAATAAAGCTGGTTTCCAGTAAAAGCTGGTTTCCACAACACAGTAAAAGTGTTGTGTTTTAATATAACAGAACATGTAAGTTGATCCTTTTCAGAAACCTTGCTACAAGTATTTCTGATTATTCTGTACTTTTTTTTTAAACAGGAAACAATGAGGGAAAAGATCTTCACCCCCTTGACTGTTGAGAGTGCAATTGATGCCAGGTAGAAAAACTACAATGCATTTCCATATGCTATATTTCACTTAGACATAACCGGTGTTACCATGGCGTTTGTACATGTCAAACAGAAGAAAAGCAGGCTCTGCATCTGCTTTCAAGCACTTTGAAGCTCTCAACTTCCTCTGGGAAAGTTTACCGGTGTTCCCTCTCGTCTTGTTTATTTTTTGGTTTCGTCTTCCTAGTCTTTTCGACGTTTGGCCTTGTAAGCTGTAATTTTTAATGCTAATATTTCACACCCTACAAACTCCTGAAAAGTACTTCAGATGAGTCTATCATGCTCTCAGCACCCGGTGGATGCAGAAAATTATTGACAGGCAGAACTCCCTTTACAAGCCTTCTGATTGGCTAAATCTGACTGCAGCCCATTTTATTTGACTATTTACAGAGGCTATAGGGCCGTCACAGATATCGTCGGGATATGACATTTATGTCAGTTGTATTTTTCAGCAAACAGGATAATTTTCTCCATAAAATTGTAACTTTAAGTGAAGTTGTGTGACAAGGCACACTTCCTATAATTCAATAAAAATTCAAAAAATTCAAAGCAAAAGGGGTATAATAAAAAATAAAGGGGTAATGAATTAAAGACTTAATAAGAATTAAATTAATTAAAGAATTAAAGAAGAAATAAGAAATATGTAATTGAAAACCAAGATAGTAATGAACATTCATGTGTATTAGTTTTAGCATTAGTGTCATGAAAAGTTCCAGGCAGACATTCAGAGAGCTTCATCCTTATGGATGAAATGGAAAACCTGCATGTAGGGTTCTTCAGATATTATTGTCTAACTACTGAGCACTAAAGTAATCAAATTATGGTAATTTTCCCTCTCAAACAACAGAGATGCTGTTGCCAAGATCCTGTATTCCCTTCTGTTCAGCTGGCTAACAGACAGAATAAATAGGCAGGTTTATCCTCGGAATGAAGCAATTTCTATCTCCATCCTTGATATCTATGGATTTGAGGTATGCTGCTGTAACTTGTTTGCTCACCCAGTAAAAGGGTTTGCTAATACTCTACATTGCTGTAAAATTTGGATTTCGTACGAATGAATCTTTTCTGTGCTTTGTAGGACCTTACCTTCAACAGCTTTGAACAGCTTTGCATAAATTATGCAAACGAGTACCTTCAGTTCTTTTTCAACAGGGTCATTTTCAAAGAAGAACAAGTAAGCTGTCTTTATTCAATCTAATCCTCTGAGAACTGTAGATGAGTAAATTGCCTGTGGTATGCATCTGAAAAATTATTTTCTTTTGAATATCCAAGGATGAATATAACAGAGAGCAAATCAACTGGGAAGAGGTGCCTTTCTCTGACAACCAGGCCTGCATTGACCTCATTGCAGCAAAGCCTCATGGGATACTCCGAATTCTTGATGATCAGAGCGGGTTTCCACAGGTGTCATTTCTTCTTAATGTTCAGTGTTCTTGTTAGTGTTTATCTATTCATCACTACTAGTTTGCATCACATTTTAATTAACCTCCTTTTAAATAATTTTTCTACTAGGCTACAGATCACACCTTCCTTCAGAAATGCCACTATCACCATGGCAACAATCCACTGTATTCCAAGCCAAAAATGCCTCTCCCTGAATTTACTATCAAGCATTATGCTGGGAAGGTCACTTATCAGGTGCATTTAAACTACTAGCTTTGAACTATCAAATATTTGAATTATTCCCTAATAAAGTATTAGTGGAGGAATGGTCCGAACTTTTTGTGATGCTTCACAGGTTCATAAATTTCTGGATAAGAATTACGATCAAGTTCACCAGGATGTTCTTGACCTTTTTATTCAGAGCAAAAACAAGGTAAGGGAAATTATTTAGCCATCATTAGCTAGGAATTAAATGACCCTAATAAACGGAACCTTATCTCACTGTGGTTTTAGATGGTTGCCTATCTCTTTATGAGCTATGCTGAGGCCCTCAACCAACAATCCCATGTTGGGAAGAACAGCACAGTAACGCGGCGATATCAGGCCTCAACGGTGGCAGCCAAGTTCCAACTATCCCTCATGGAGCTCATTGAAAAGATGGAGAGGTAGACCACCTAAAGTGTGCATTACGCTGTCTACATGAATCTCTTGTTGACTTTGATTAGCTTCGTTATTTATCACCAAGTACTTTCTTCTATTTTGTACTAACAGAGCCAACCCATATTTTGTGAGGTGCATAAAGCCAAACCAAAACAAGGTAAGGAACAGGAGTCACTGGGTTCAGAGGTATTAAGCTATTTGCATCTTGGCTGGAATTGAAATTGATTGAGAGAGTGTGTATAACACCGCAGGAGCCTGGTGTGTTTGACATGGAGCTGGTCAGTGCCCAACTTAACTATTCTGGGATTTTGGAAACAATTCGAATCAGAAGTGAGGGCTATCCGATCAGAATGCCATTTGATGTCTTCCTTTTCAGGTAAGAGCTAGAAGTGTCAAACTAAGAAGAGGCAATTTAAAGACTCAAATTGAATTAATTATTCAATTATTTGGTTGTATTAAGATACAAGTCCCTGCTAGGCCTCAAACAGCCGCCTCCTGCCAGTGGTGAAAACTGTGTCATCATGTTGAGGAAGCTTTGTCCTGTTAGACCAGGAGCATTTCAAGTCGGTGTCAGCAAGGTGAGCATGATTCTGATAAGTGCACTTGTCACTTTTCACCTAGTCTTAGGCTGCATCCGAAATCGTATACTTTCCTACTATATAGTAGGCATAAAACATATGTGAAAAGAGTAGTATGTCTGAATTCACAGTATTCATAAAACACACCTGGATGACTTACTACTTCCGGCGAGATTCCGAAGTGCACATCTGATGGATACTTTAGCATCCCATGAGGCCATAGTAGATGAGTTATGAATGGCAGTGAAGCAACATAACTGATGTTGGTAGGTCACATGACAATGACAACATGACAGATGTAGTATGTCTGGATTTCATTCATACTATAAAGAATATACTTTTTAATGATTGTAAAGTAATTACACATTACTTACAAAAGTAGTTCCTACTCAGAGAGTATGCGATTTGGATGCGGCCTTAGTCTGTCACACCACCCACAGGTAGTCCTTGGCACAGATATTTTACAATGTGGACCAGACTTTATGATGTGAAAAGTCTGGCTACATGAGCGTTGCACATTTTGTTTGTTAGTTGTTCATGAAAGAGGACATATACTTCCTGTTGGAGAGCAAGAGGGACCGAGTAAGGCACGTAGCTGCCCTGATTTTGCAGCGTTATGTCAGGATGTTCTTTGTGAGAAAACGCTATACGGCCTTCCGCATGAAGATCATACGGCTGCAGGCCCACTGCCGAGGCTTTCTCACAAGGTGCAAACTATCATTTATCACTCTAAATCCTTCTGGCTCCTAAGACCCCTTTTGTAAAATATTATTTTACATTCTTTGCACAGAAAACGGTATGTGAAAATGAGAGCTAGCCTGGTGAAATTCCGCTCTCTGATCCATATGTACGTTGATCGCAAGAGATACATTAAGGTAAGAACAATGCGGTTTTAGTGCATAGTGGTCAAGCTGAGCAACAATCCCACATTTAATAGTTTTGCTTCTTTTTCTTTTGTTTTAGCTGAGATACGAGGCCAGGAGAAAGGCAGAAGAGGAGCAAAGGAGAATAGAAATGGTTATAATGACATTTACTGTCTAAATGGACCACCTTTTACTGTATTTCTTATGCCTACAGTATACAGGTGGATCTCAATAATGTCGTGGAAAAGTTCATTTATTTCAGTAATTCAACTCAAATTGTGAAACTCGTGTATTAAATAGATTCAGTGCACACAGACTGAAGTATTTTAAGTCTTCTTTTAATTGTGATGAGTTTGGCTCACATTTAACAAAAACCCACCAATTCACTATCTCAACAAATTAGAGTACTTCATAAGACCAATAAAAAAACATTTTAAGTGAATTGTTGGCCTTCTGGAAAGTATGTTCATTTACTGTACATGTACTCAATACTTGGTAGGGGCTCCTTTTGCTTTAATTACTGCCTCAATTCGGCGTGGCATGGTGGTGATCAGTTTGTGGCACTGCTGATGTGGTATGGAAGCCCAGGTTTCTTTGACAGTGGCCTTCAGCTCACCTGCATTTTTTGGTCTCTTGTTTCTCACAATAATGTTAAATGTGAGCCAAAATCATCACAATTAAAAGAACCAAAGACTTAAACTACTTCAGTCTGTGTGCATTGAATTTATTTAACACACGAGTTTCACAATTTGAGTTGAATTACTGAAATAAATGAACTTTTCCACGACATTCTAATTTATTGAGATGCACCTGTATAGGGTGAAATATAGAATAGAAATGGTTATAATGACATTTACTGTCTAAATGGACCACATTTTACTGTATTTCGTATGCCTACAGCATATAGGGTGAAATATTATGAAATTGTTTCCACTGAAAAACTTACATTGATCAAAATCTGTTCTGAATAATACACTATATCTTTTATTTGCAGGAGCTGTCTAAACGGGAAGTGGTCAACGTCACTCATCTTGTCATTCCAGCTGAACTTGGAGCATTGCTGCAGGCAGCCGCTGGTACTGCATTTTCTCACGCTAAGAAACACTAATATAACATAATATATATTTAAATAAATGATATTGAACTTTCTGTTTATCAAAGAATCATAAAAAATTTATCAAGGTGTTCACATAAAGCAGCCTAAAGCCATAAAGCAGTTTCTTGAGCACTAAATCAGCATATTAGAATGATTTCTGAAGGATCATGTGACATTGAAGACTGGAGTAATGATGCTGAAAATTCAGCTTTGCTTAATTTAAAATATAACTTTGCTTTGCAGTTTAAAATATATAAAAATAGAAACAGTTGTTTTAAACTTTAATAATATTTCACAGTTTTGCAGTTTTTTTAACTGTATTTTTTCATCAAATAAACAGCCTTGTTGAGCATAAAAGATTAAAAATCCTTACCGACCCCAAACTTACAGTAGTGAACAGTAGCATGTATATACAGCATGCACTGCCTGTCTCACTTCTCACCTCTCACGTCTTTTTAGGAGGTAGAGAGCTCCATTCTGATTGTTTGGCTTTAGTCCAGGCTCCCACAGTTCAGGTGGAGTCACAGCTCACGCTACCTCTTGACATCAACAACTACACTATTTCCAAATTTGTCCAGATTCACTTCAAAGTAAGACTTGCTTAAGCAATTTATTCCAAAATCACAAATAATCTCTCGTACTCAGATATTTTTTTCTGGTCTGACTGATATACCGTATATTAAGTTGTATGTTTTTAAAATTTTTTTATTTTGATGAATGAATAGGAGGCAAAGTTTGGAATGCTAACTGCACCTTTAAAGACACCACTAACCCACATTGATGACGATCTTATACATGACGCTCTAGATGTCTTTATCATGGTACGCTGCATTATATTCTGTTAAAGATTTTGTCTTTGCCATCTATTATAGTGTACATGCAATAGAGCTCAAATGTGAGTTCTGGCATGAAAATCCCATTAATTTTCTCCATAGAGTAACAGATTTTTAACAATAACCTATAAACCCTTCAACACAGACCTATTATGAGCACGAGATTGTTATGTGAAGATATGTGCCTCTGTTGTAGCCATAAGTCAGTGTGATTTCAACTTCTTTAGCATTGTTATTTCTTTCACTTTGTAGATCTTGAGGTTTATGGGTGACCCACATCTAAATGGTGCTCAGGAGAATTTATTTGGAAACTACATCATCCAGAAGGGGCTTACCAACCCTGGTTTGCGGGATGAAATCTTATGTCAAATTGCCAATCAGGTTTGGAGAAACACCAATCCAGATAACTCAGAGAGAGGCTGGCTGCTGCTGCTTGCCTGCCTGAGTGCATTTGCACCATCGGCCAAAATGGAGAAATACCTTCTGAAGTAAGAAACACACCAATATTTACATTGATTATGTCACAAACTACATTTAAGCCTTCATTATGTTTTGGCTTTTATATGCATTAGGTTTGTCTCAGATCATGCCTATAATGGATTCAAAGCTGTTGGCCAACACAAGCTCATTCAAGCCACGCAGAAGTCCCTGTATGGACCGGAGGCTGCGAGGACTTACCCATTGTCCCTTCTGGAATGGACAGCCAATAGGAAGAAAGCAAACATGGTTTTGCAGGTGCACTGTTTTGATGGTGTGTGTCAGTTTCACTTGCACTGTTTGAGTTTCTGCAACCTTGAGTCAATGTTGGCCAGTTAAAACTCTTAGGGTGGGTTGCATAATAAAAAGGAGTCAAGGTCTAATTCAGTTGCATTTAACTTTAAACCTTAACTAAACTTTAAGTCTTGCTGCACCATTACTCTAAATTTCATTTGAATTAAAGTTTAAGTCAAATAACACCTTAATTAACAAATCCTTGATTACCTCACATTTCTGCCTAATTTAGTCTTTATTGGTGCAACCTCCCCTCAGTTTTTACTCTTCATACACACATTTCAGCACTAACCCCTGCTTGAAAACAACAACTGTAACCAGCCTAAGATGGTTGGGTGGTTTTATCTGGTGTTACAGTCTGGTCATAGCTGATTACAATAGCAGGCTGTTTTTAGATTGGTTTTGACTACTACTTTAGCTGGCCAGGCTGGAAGACCAGCTGACCAATCAGCTAAAACCAGCTGAAACCAGAATATTTTGAGATACCCTTGTTTGGAATGAAAGAGATATGCACACTTATATAAGACAAACTCAATAGATTAGAATAGAACAGTTAAATAAAGCCCTGAAAGGCTCTTCCATCATCGTAATCTCCTAAATCAGCCAGGCAGGTTCCTTTGTTTCTTAAAACCCTCTGGAGACAATTGTGTAAAGCGCATCTATATCAAGTGATACCTGATCTGTAGTGCTATACAGAATAGAAACAGACATTTGCGTGTAGTCTTCACTTCAAACCACAGCTGTTAAAAGTCATGTTCTATTGACAGGGACATCTTTCCTTTGCCCTATGCACTCCTGGACGAGTGGGGAGGATTTGGCTGGAGATATTCTACAGCATAGGTACACAATCATGCACAAACTATCCTTATTATATTCCTTCTTTTGTTCCAACCGTTTTCTCTCCAATGTCAGCTAACACATCTTTTGATTTTGTTCATTTTCAGCCAGTGTAGGTGTTGTAATGTTACAATCTATTCATCACAAGGAGCTTTTTAACATGCTGTATGCCATGTCATTAGTGCATGGCGCTTTCTTTTGGACATGTTGGGATATGTACAGTCTATAATGAGGCCTTCATTATCTCTGCCATCTGTAATTTGCCTGAAATGAATAGTCTCATTAATTGGATCCGCAGGGGTGTGACGGAGGCCTGGAAGGGGTGTTCTGTTATCATGAAGGAGCACGGGCAGTGGGCGGAGCTCGCAGGGCATGATTATGTAATGGACTTGATCGCAGACATGGAATTGATGAGAAATTTTCCCAAGCAAAAGTCCTACTTCATCATCTCCGCTGAGAGTCCCACCAGAACTAGGTCCAATGCCAGCCTGTCAGTATCTACATGATAGTCTTGCATGTTTATTGTACTTTCATTTACACTGGAAATGGGTTATGTACTCTAATATGATGCATGATCATAAATATGAGTTATATTTTAATATATCTGTTTTGCATGTAATTTAAAAGTGAGTTAAATGTGAGTGTCATTTCTATGGCATTAGTGGTTCCAAACTAAGGACTAACAGTGCTTGAAAATGTTGTTTAGTGCCACTAGCAGCACAGAAAAGGCACACTTCACCTATAAGGCACAAAAAGTGAATATTTATATTATAAATATAAATAATTTCTGTTAATGCTCTGCTAGCTGATTTGTCATTCATCTTGGACTTTATAATGACATCTAGTGGGTGACATCTAGGTTTTCAGTTACAGATGCCATTGTAGAAATGCCCTATTCAAAGCCATAAGTGATTAATTCCCCTAGTAATATTGTCCAATAACAGGGAGCATGTTGGGATAAGGTGAATATTATTCATAGCTCAGTATCATGTGGTCCTAATATATTGTCTGTGTGCTCTCTGTGATGCAACCTGCTCCATGTATAATTAAACAGCTTTGTACTGTATATGTCACTGATCTAATGTACATCATTTAAAAAATTTTTTTTATTCTTTATAATTAACTTTTTAATGAGTAAAAAATACATTGTAATTTTTTTTAAGTATAGTTATAGGCTAAGTATATTTTTGCAGTGTTATTGGATTGTTATCTAATATTTTGTCCTCAATATGAACTTTCACAGGGCTCTGTTTGGAAGCGGATTTGATTCTGACGATGACAGCTCACCTCTGCTCCCTCAAACAATGCCAAGCTCCAGTCTGCCATATTCAGCTGGATATTACAGCCACGGTCAGCTGTTTTTTGGGCTAGTTTTTAAGCTGTTTTTACATATTCTGTACAAAGTAAATAGCATGATTCCTGTGTTTTTTCCCCACTACCTGTAAAAAAAAAATTAATTAATCAGACTTCAGTGAGGCACCAACTCAGAAAGGCATGGACAGATATCTCGACAGCCTGTTTGACCCAGTTCTGTCTGATGGTAATGGGGTAAGTGTTTCTTGTTCATTCATGCCTAATTCAGATAAGTGTAAATGTAATAAAAGCAATATTATTTGGAGGTTAAATGCAACTATTTATGGAAAGAATCTTAAAAATATAACAAGAATGCATGAAGAAAACAACTGGCCACTTGATCCTCATGGAGTAAGTGATTGAGTGTATCAAATGTGCGCTATGGGTGCCAGGTCCCCTGAATTGGGTGTGATTAAGTTACTAGTTTACCGTATTTCTCACAGCATTGAGCGTACCTTGTTTTTTTGCTATTAGCGTTGTCATTTTGAGATAATATCTGGTGTTTATAAACACGTATAGCGATATGGCAGTGGGATTTTTTTTTTGGCAATCATACAACAATTTGATTGCGGGCACTTGTAAAAAATAAGCATGAGAATTTTTCAGTCAAAAAGGACTAGTTAGTTTAAAGTTATTATTTTTTGCTCATTTAAAGATCCTAGACTGGTTATGGGAAACCAGACTCTTGTGGTCTAGGCCAGCGTGGTTCTGTCTCAAGTGCACTAGTAAATGGGCCTTGCTCCTCTTAGAGAGTATAAGGTACTCCCATGGGGAGATTGATTTCTCGTATGACTGAGCTGGGATCGGTCCAGCCCAGAGTTGAGAACCTGTTTTGCTTTGCCTTATCTCTTCTGCAGGATTTTGAGAAGTCATCCAGCATGTCCAGCCGTATGAAGGGAGCTGGTGGGATTGGAGGGCAGGATGGTGACAGAGAGAAGCCCCTCTCCAGCAGGCCTTATCCCCCTGGACTGCAGCCTGGTGGTGAGCTCTGCATCTGTTCTCTTTCTGCTCTCTCCGTACCACACATCAATTATGCATTGATACCCTGGGGTCAATTGGTACCTGAATGCAATCAATTGCCGGATAAACATTCAGACTTGCAAATTATGTAAACCGCACATTTGCAAATGCTTTGCATGATAAATGATCAATGTACCGTTTAGACTGATTTAATGCTTTGGTGATTTTAAGTGACTGTGGCTTTTGGTGATTGGTGTTCCATGGGTCATTCTATAAAATGGGTGCCATTTGTGTTCCTTATACTAAAACAAACACTTAACAATAAATAGCTGATGGCAACTTTTGTACTTTTTTTTAATGAACAAGAATACAGAAACATTATTTTAATTATATTTTTGTAAACAATAATTATATATTATTCTAATTATATATTCAAATTATATTTTATTTATAAAATTATATTAACATTTTAAGTTATTTAGTTAGCTTAAGGTGCAACATAATTATGTCATATGTTTACAATTTTTTTCACTTGAAACAAATAAATGTTACCTGAAATAAAATATAAAAACTTAAAATGTGTTTTATTTCAGCAACATGTCTCATTTTCGTTTAGTTTAACTTGAAGTACTCAAATAACTAAAACTAAATAAACTAAAACTAATTAATAAAAATGAATAAAAACTATTGATGAAAACCTAATACAAACCTAATCCAAAAACAAAAAAACACAACAAAATTACTAGAACGGAAAATATAAAAATGACATCTAATTCAAAATATTAACAAAAAATGTAATAGTTTATCAATGATACTTAACTATATATATTAAGGATGCACCGAAATGAAAATTCTGGATGCACTTGGCTGAAAACTGAAACCGAAAATGCTTTGTAATAATTATTTATTATTTTATTAAATAATATAAAGTAATTTTGTAAGAATTTTTAATTTAACTCAATAATTTTAATGATACTGAATAACACACGTTTATTGAAAGTAACATTAAATAAGTAATATTAAATAATATATATATTTTTTTCAGTTCTCTGCAACAGAATCAGATTTCACCTACGAAGCTATTATTATCACACAGCAGGGAGCAGATCAGTGAATGAGAGGGTAGCGTCATTTTACCAGCGTTGCCATGTTACAACACAATAGCGCTATTGCAAACAGGAGCAAATATACTACATATAAATTTCCTATCGGTGCGTTATTTGAGCTGACTTTTTTTCCCGAAATTTCAGTGCATCCCTAATATATTTATACTATATATATATATTGTTTACAGTCTGTTTTGATTTTATTTTGTGTGAATATACATATAATATTGACTTAATTTGTGCAACTTAATTTAATTAGACTATTTAAAACTTTTCTTGACTTGAAAAAACACCTTTTAAAATAGTAAAAATTTGAATATTTTTAGCACATCCATCCTGTTAATGAGCAATATATGCTGCAAGGTGTTTATTTCACTTTCAGTAGTATTGTTCATGTTTATTTTATATAGGGGGTCTGTACACAGCTAATTGGGTTTCGTCTGACCTCAAACCCCTAGCCTAGCCAATCCTTGCATTAAATCGTTTGATTAAGACATGTTAAAGGGGTCAATGCTTACTGATCTTTAGCCATATTTACTGTCCTCAGCGGTGCCAGTTCTACCTGTAATGGGAGGAACAATGATGCCACCTATACCTATGCCAGCTATGTCTTCTGTGCCTCATGCATACGCCCCTACCGCCGTACCTTCAGTACCCCCAATGCCAGCTATGCCTTCTATGCCAGCTTTGCCAGCTATGCCACCTTTGCCAGCTATGCCTAATGTGCCACCAATGCCTGATATGTCAGGTATGGATGCTGCATAAATGACGCTTTCCGCTGATTTATTCTCTGGGATCATTCGTATAAGACAGCACTGTTTATTTCTGTGTGTTCTAATCACAGTTATCAGAGTACATCTGCTTTATCTCTAAAGGTGTAGATCCGGCTGTCTTAGCACAGCAGCAGCAAGCCATCATCAACCAGCAAGCGATTATATTGGTGAGCACATACAGCATGACTTAAACTTGCAGTTAAATGCTAAATGCGTTTGAATACTGTTCTAATGTGATGTACCACAGGCTCAGCAGATGACAATGCAAGCCATGGCCCTCCAGCAGCAGATGTATAATTCAGTGCCAGCTCCCCGCTCCAGCCAGTACAGTCCTGTGAGTATCTCTGAGCACTGATTACAATATAGTCGATAAATCATTAGATATCAAGAGAACTCTTTGATTAGATTAGAATAACATATATAGAAGTCATATAAGCACTTTAAATTCCCACATGCACCAAGTTTGAGGTCTTTAAGATTTAGATTTTTTTTTCCAAAGAAGTCTCTTATGCTCACCAAGGCTGCATTTATTGAATATAAAAATACATTAAAAACATTAATATTGTGAAATAATATTGCAATTTAAAGTAACTATTTTCTATTTGATTATATTTTAAAATCGAATATTTTCCTGTGATGGTAAAACTGAATTTTCAACAGCCGTTACTCCGGTCTTCAGTTTCACATGAATTGGGTTTCGTCTGACCTCAAACCCCTAGCCTAGCCAATCCTTGCATTAAATCGTTTGATTAAGACATGTTAAAGGGGTCAATGCTTACTGATCTTTAGCCATATTTACTGTCCTCAGCGGTGCCAGTTCTACCTGTAATGGGAGGAACAATGATGCCACCTATACCTATGCCAGCTATGTCTTCTGTGCCTCATGCATACGCCCCTACCGCCGTACCTTCAGTACCCCCAATGCCAGCTATGCCTTCTATGCCAGCTTTGCCAGCTATGCCACCTTTGCCAGCTATGCCTAATGTGCCACCAATGCCTGATATGTCAGGTATGGATGCTGCATAAATGACGCTTTCCGCTGATTTATTCTCTGGGATCATTCGTATAAGACAGCACTGTTTATTTCTGTGTGTTCTAATCACAGTTATCAGAGTACATCTGCTTTATCTCTAAAGGTGTAGATCCGGCTGTCTTAGCACAGCAGCAGCAAGCCATCATCAACCAGCAAGCGATTATATTGGTGAGCACATACAGCATGACTTAAACTTGCAGTTAAATGCTAAATGCGTTTGAATACTGTTCTAATGTGATGTACCACAGGCTCAGCAGATGACAATGCAAGCCATGGCCCTCCAGCAGCAGATGTATAATTCAGTGCCAGCTCCCCGCTCCAGCCAGTACAGTCCTGTGAGTATCTCTGAGCACTGATTACAATATAGTCGATAAATCATTAGATATCAAGAGAACTCTTTGATTAGATTAGAATAGCATATATAGAAGTCATATAAGCACTTTAAATTCCCACATGCACCAAGTTTGAGGTCTTTAAGATTTAGATTTTTTTTTCCAAAGAAGTCTCTTATGCTCACCAAGGCTGCATTTATTGAATATAAAAATACAGTAAAAACATTAATATTGTGAAATAATATTGCAATTTAAAGTAACTATTTTCTATTTGATTATATTTTAAAATCGAATATTTTCCTGTGATGGCAAAACTGAATTTTCAACAGCCGTTACTCCGGTCTTCAGTTTCACATGATCCTTCAGAAATCATTCTAATATGCTGATTCTGCTCAAGAAACCTTTCTTATGGAAACCATGATACATTCATTTTCAGGATTCTGAATAGAAAGTTAAAAAGAACAGCATATATTTGAAATATAAATATTTTGTACATATATACGTATATATATACAGTATGTATTTGAACATACTGATGGACAGTTAATAAATTCATAAGCTGTTGTCATCATTTTTTATCATTAAGACCAAACAAGAAACTGGACCTGTTTCCTACAAACCAACCCCTGCTTCTCCACCACAGAAATCTTCACAGCGACAGTACAGTATGTCATTACATCAATCTATATACACCTTCATTCTTAATTTTACTCATTAAAATGACTGTTTCATTATTCTGTTGATATGTTTCCAAAGGTCCAACTAGAAGAGATCCACCAGCGGGAGATGTGATGCGAACCACTATCTCAAACTCTGAACATTTAGAGCCAAGTCACAACATCAAAGACATTATCAAGCAGTACCAAACAAACCCTGTAAAACCAACAGAGATTCCCAGGTGAGAAATGAAAATTTTTAGATCCAGTTCCACATCTTTAATAATGAATGACCTGAACTGAAAACTGATACACAGCTAACCAATGTTCTCCTTGACCTTGCAACAAAACATTGATAAAATATTAAACAAAAGAGATCTTTAAATTAGAACAGAACAAAGACCAAAGCTCTAAATGTGCTGGACTTCAATGCAGGAGGGAAGCTAAAGTGTTTTTGAAGAAACCAGACCCCCATGATGAAGCTATGATGATTCTTAAGGACCAAATGAGTGCTCCATCTCCACAGGTAGATCAGTCATAGTTTATTCACAGATAAACTGACAGTGATAAAGTCATACGAGTTAAAATGATGTAAAGTATTACTAGTAGGCTTTAGTATTATCATTGCAGTTAATGCTTAGCATATTGGTGTCCCACACAACTAGCGAAAGAAAACCTACACTCCAGCCTCTGCCTCGTCATCTGCAAAGGAGTATGATTATGATGGAGAGGCACTGAAACCAGCAAAAAGCATAAAGATGAAGCGATCACCTCCTGTGCCAGCTGTTAGTCAGAGATTCCCGGCCGCTGCACCTGGTAAAGTCTGATCATCTATGTAATTTAATTTCAGTTCAATATAGAAGTCATTTTAGCAAGGCTATTGTGTTGCATTACAGTATCTAGAGAACTTCCAGTAGAAGAGGAGAATCTTCAGACTCAGCTGCACAAGAGGAGCAGTGAAGAGCACTACACCTACACCAATGTACCATGGAAGATCTACCTGAGGAAAGAGGCTAGTGTCATTTGTGTTGTGATGGGTCAATGGGACACAGGTCCTTTGCTCTAAAATATGGAAGTCATTTTGAAACATTCAATTTGTGTCATCTGTTTTTAGGTTTTTTATCCGAAAGACAGCTTCAACCACCCGCTGATGCTAGACCTCTTGTTCAAGCAGGTTTGATATATTTTTTTTGTTTGTTTTTGTTTTCAGTTCACTTTGGTATTAGGGCTATCAATTGATAATCTTAATCTTGTAATTTTAGTGTTAACATTAATACATTCAGTTTCTAAAAATTAAATAACAGGTTAATGTGTAACTATTTGTTTTGGCGGATGAAGTGTGGATATAACATGAGGCATACATTTATGGAATAGTGCTCTTTATTTGTCCAGAATAAAATAACAAAAGCCACTTTATGGACATAATCATAATAAGAATAATGCTCAACAAGTCTGCACTGCTCAAAAATACACTTAAAACAGAAATAGTGTGAATTTATATTACAATTTTAAATGTTTTCTACTTTAATATATTTTAAAATGTAATTTATTCCTGTGATGCAAAACTGAATTTTCAGCATCATTACTCCAGTCTTCAGTGTCAAATGATCCTTCAGAAATCATTCTAATGTGCTGATTTGATGCTTAAGAAACATTATTATCAATGCTGAAAAAAGTTATGCTGCTTAGTATTTTTGTGGAAACTGTGATACATTTTTCAAGATTTTTTTTTGGTGAATAGAAAGTTAAAAAAAAACAGCATTTATTTGAGCTTTGACTCTGTCATTTTTTATCAATTTACTTGCTGAATAAAAGTATTAATTTCTTTCAAATGTATTTCGGTAGTCTATGTAAAGGTATTTGTGGTTGGTTGTAGTTTTATCAACTATAATTACAAATAAACTTTCATCTCAGATTGTCCATGACACATTCTCAGAGGCTTGCATTCGCATTACAACAGAAGAAAGGCAGAAGATGAAATCCCATTTTGGTATGATTTTTTTTGTTGATTAGATCTCTTAGATCCACATTTATCTCATGTAATATGTGAACACTGCTAATGGAGAGGAAAATGTTGTCTTCTGTATTGTGACAGCGGAGCACAACATTGACATGAATGCCACAATCCATGATGAGAATGTGAAGAAGAAGATTGTGGTTGCTGCAAGAGACACCTGGGAGATCTACTTCTCACGCCTCTTCCCAGCATCTGTAAGGAATCTCTAGACCAACGTAGACCAGCATGAATTTCAGAGCTGGTCCTGGCTGGTTTATGTTGGTCAGAGCTGGTTTAGCGGGTGGCCCAGCATAGCACTCTGTTCACAATTACGTATTAAGCATGGTTCTGGTGAAGCTAGTCTGGTGTTGTCAGCAGCATCCAAAACACATCATACTGTATTCTGATGTTTTAAGCAGGCATTTGCTGCACCATAATGCTATTTAGACCAAGCTGAAGTCACATTCTTCCTGAACAGGGCAGTGTTGGCACAGGGGTCCAGGTGCTGTCTGTATCTCATAGAGGGATCAAGCTTGTGAAAATGGTCAGGAGCAGTGCGGTAGCCCCAGACTACTTCAGAGTTCTGCGACCCTACAGGTACCAGTTACTGAGACTTTTAATGTCTGTATTTTAATCATTGTTTTTAATTAAATTGTATTTTTAATGACACAATTAATGACACTGCCATCACACCATGAATATTCTTAGTTGTGGATGTATTGTGATCATTGTTAACGTCTTACAGCTACACAGACATCATGTTCGTCACCATTCCTTCCAAAAACATGCTGGAGTTCAATCTCACCAGTGAGAAACTGATTCTGTTCTCTGCCAAAGCTCCTCAGGTCAAAACCATGATTGACTACTTTATCACAGAGCTGAAAAAGGTCAGTTCTCACACACATTGGTTTGCTTCGGAGATGATGTGGTGCTGTGCGTTAATTGTGCTCTCTCTCGCTTTAGGACTCAGACTATGTCGTTGCTGTGCGTAATTACATTACAGATGACAGGAAGCTGTTGAGTTTCCACAAGGGAGACATCATACGCTTGCAGAAAATGGAAGGCCTAGATGCAGGTGAGACTGCTTTAAACCAAAAGTGGTCATGAAGACTTGACTTTACACTTCACATTGAAGGGAAAAAGAGTCTATATAAGTCTTTTAATAGTTTTCTATTTTTAATACATTTGTGGCCCTGGACCACAAAACCACTCTTAAGTCGCTGGGGTATGGGTCAAAATTATTTATTTTTCTTTTATGCTAAAAATAATTAGGATATTAAGTAAAGATCATGTTCCATGAAGATATTTAGTCAATTTCCTACTGTAAATCTATTAAAACTTAATTTTTGATTAGTAATATGCATTGCTAAGAACTTCATTTGGACAACGATTTTCTCAATATTTTGATTTTTTTTGCACCCTCAGATTCTAGATCTCGGCCAAATATTGTCCTATCCTAACAGACCATACATCAATGGAAAGCTTATTTATTCAGCTTTCAGATAATGTATAAATCTCAATCTCAAACATATTGACCCTAATGACTGGTTTTGTTGTCCAGGGTCACAATTGAAAATGTAATTTATTCCTGTGATCCTTCAGAAATCATTGTAATATGCTAATTTGCTGCGCAAGAAATATTTCTCATTATTATCATAATTGTAAAAACTATTATGCTGCATAAAATATTTTATTCAGGATTCTTTGATGAATAGAAAGTTCAAAAGAATAGCATTTTTTAAAATATAAATCTTTTGTAACATCATACATGTCTTTACTGTGACTTTTGGTCAATTTGATGCGTCCTTGCATAAAAAAACAACAACTTTTCAATGGTAGTGCATTGATATAATATAGACAGAGAGTATACTGAGGATGCAAAAGATGTTATAAAAGGCACAATAACTTGTTCATCTAAGCTCTGTGACTGTTTCACAGGCCAGTGTTATGGTTGCATAGTGAAAAAGAAGGTGATTCTCCTGGAGGAATTAAAAAGAGACACACCTGATTTTGGTGGGTCGTGTGTGGACACCTGCATGGAGTGTGTCTTGATGTGCTGTTTTATAGTGCTGCACTTAGCAGTATCATTGCAGTTGAGTTGCTGGTGTGCAGACATATCTGAAATTCAGTATCCCTAGTTGCATGTATAAAACCTGTCTTCCTTCCTTAAGCATGATGGTTTCCCTGCTGCTTTTTATTCCGGCACTTCAGTCTACTCTTAAAATGTCATTCTGCTGTCACACACACACTTTCACACACCATGTGTTGTATCGTACTAAGGCTGGAAGTTTGGGGCCATTCATGGGCGATCTGGGGTTTTCCCTGTGGAGTTTGTTCAGCCAGTGGCTGCTCCTGACTTCATTAACATTCCTGTGGACAAGAAAGAGGAACCCAAGAATAAGCAGGGTCGCGTGGCCGCATCAGCAGCTGTGGCTGTGGCTGTAGGGTCGGCTACCGCAGCCCATGAACTCGACCGGTCAATTGAGGTATATGTGTTTAACAGGCATGTAGTCTGAAATTCGGATTTACATGTACCATAGATCCTTCTGAGTGCCACTGTGTTGCTGCATTTCACCTCTAGGTGGCGTCTCATGTCAGTGAGTATGCAGAGGCCTACACAGACAGCACTGATATGGACATCGATGAGAGATTCTTGCAAGACAGCCAATACAACATGGTGGAATTTGCAAAGAAATATTTCAGAGGGGCCCAGAGAAAAATTGGGTCAGTTGATTACATCATAAGGGAAATTGTGAGCTCAGGTTCTCACAGTTACATAGTTGAATTAAAAGAAAATGTGTAATTGAAACATTGACATGCTTATATTTTGCAGTGATTCATATAAGAAAAAGTCAAAGAAAACAAAGGAATCTAGGGAGCCATCAGAAATGGTGAAATTTTCCAAGGTATAAAATGCATACCATACTATCACTTTTAAACATGTTCAAAAGAATAGTTAATTTAAAATATATATTCTGCCATTGTTTACTTTATAATGAATGGAGGGGGAGGGGGAGGGGCATTAAAGTGGTCCATACATCTTGTGCACTAATTCCAAGTCTACTGAAGTCAAATGAGAGCTTTGTGAGAGGAACAAATCAAAATTGAAGTTGTTATTTACTAAAATTGGATAATTCAGTTGAAAAGAACCATCTCAAAGAATGAGCCATTCATGAATTGTACATTGGAGATCTAGGGTGAATATAATGTTTTTCTTTCAGTGAATAAGGGCTTAAATTTTGAACTGATGTCATATAGATCAGTGTGGCATCAGAAGACTTGAAGTATTTTAACACCTTTTATATTATTATTATTACTACTACTACTACTACTATTTAAAAAAAATTGGTTTGGAATTACAGGAGAGTGAGTAAATGATGACAAAATTGTAATTTTTTTGGTGAACTATTCCTATTCCTATCCCTTAAGTTTAGAGACCATGAAGCAAGACCTTAAAAGTTTCAATATTTCTGATACATATTCTGATTGATTTTTGCTTTGGTTATGTAGTCTCCAATTCAAGAGTCCCTAATCGAGTTCACTGATGAAAACATGAACAAAGTAGCTGCAGAGATTTTTCTTGGTAAGCAGAATGTTCAATATGAACATATTAGGAGACACATTTTTTTTACTGTAATCTATAAAAATGTAATGTTTACTATGTAATTCAACTTCAACAATTCTTATCTTGCAGCTATAATGAAGTTTATGGGAGACTACCCTATGAAAGGCCAGACTGAGCAGGAGGTCATCAGCACCATCCTAAGGGTATGCAGCTCGTCAAAAAGCGCAACAAGAATTCCCATCATGAATTATTAAGATAACCAGACAGAAATGTGCTAAATGTCTTCAATGCCACTGCAATATGCAATATGAATAATCTCTGTTGCAGCTGAGTGGCGAGTATGGACTAATGAGAGATGAAGCGTACTGCCAAGTCCTCAAGCAGATCAGTGGGAACACCAGCTCCAAGACGTATGAGTCTGCTTCTTTCTGAATGAAAAAACCATGGAGGGCTCATTTTAATGTGCCAGGCAGAGTCATAAGATGATCTTTTCTGTATTTCACAGGGAGAGTTGTCAGAGGGGCTGGAGGCTGCTGTACATCCTCACTGCGTACTACAAGTGTTCAGAGGCACTCAAACCTTACCTGCTGAAGTACCTCCAAGACGTCTGTGCAAGTCCAGGGGTGCACTTTCAGGGTATACTACTGTTTTAAGTACAAGTTACAGCTGCACATGAATGAATACTGACTGATGATTACACAAACATGATATATTGACAGGAATTGCCAAGTCTTGTGAACAGAACCTAAGGAAGACGTTTCAATATGGTGGACGCGCTGAACATCCTAATGGGATGGAATTGAAAGCTATGCTGGTTAGTTGCACATAAACAAATTTTAATGCTAATTTTAGTGACATTTTCAGCTGTTTCTGCTTAATCATGCACAATTCAACATTTTCAAGGCTGGAAGGAGTTCCAAGCGGCAGTTGTTTCTTCTTCCTGGTGGAATTGAACGCCACCTAAAGATCAAAACCTGCTCAGTATGTTGACTCTATGATATTTATTGCAACTTGATCAACCATGTAATTAATTTAGTAGGGACAATGTGATTCTAATTCACTTTTATTATATTGGAGGTGTCTTTGGATGCCATTGAAGAGCTGTGCTATGAGATGGGTCTGCATAAACTTGAGGCCTTGGATGAGTATGCTGTATTTGTGGTCACAAACAGAGGTGAGATGACAAAAAGGAAAATGCTAAATCTAAATCTAATACCAGATTGTTTGTAGTAGCTGATATGGAAGTTCACTTATCTCAGGAAAGGAAAGGGTCAATTTAATGTAAAAGAATAGTTCACCCAAAGATGAAAATGTACTCACCCTCAGGCCATCCAAGATGTAGATTCATCTGTTTCTTCATAGGAACAGATTTGGAGAAATTTTGCATTACGTCACTTGCTCACCAATGGATCCTCTGCAGTGAATGGGTGCCATCAGAATGAGAGTCCAAACAGCTGATAAAAACATCACAATAATCCACAAGTAATCCACACCACTCCATAAATGAATGTCTTGTGAAGTGAAAAGTTTTTATCAACTGTTTGGATGCTTATTTTGACGGCACCTCTGCATTAACTGCAAAGGATCCATTGGTGAGCAAGTGATGTAATGCTTTATTTCTCCAAATCTGTTCTGATGAAGAAACAAACTCATCTACATCTTCAATGGCCTGAGCAAATTTCAGCAAATTTTCATTTTTGGGTGAACTATTGCTTTAAGATGATCCAAGTGATACAAGGATTGAAAGCTGTATTCTCATGTGTTGTCACTCTTTCTCCAGGTCAGAATGTCCGCCCTCTAAACAAAAGAGAGTACATCTTGGATGTTGCTACAGAAGCTGAGCATGTTGATAGCAACTACAGTCTGTGGTTTCGAAGAGTGATCTGGACGCAGCCACTAAAGTTTGACAGTGAGCTCGGAGTCACTATGCATTACAATCAGGTACATCAGCCAGACTGATTCAATTTCACAGACATTCCTTTCATGTATTTTGCTGCTTATTGCACAAGTTACAAAGATCTGAGGCATTTGTTCTCATTTTGATCTAAGTTTTCTCTGTTCAGTCTACAAATCTGATCTTCATTCACATTTTACAGGTGTCCCCTGACTACTTGAAAGGGCTGCTCAATGTTGTCCCACAGGGTAAAGCCAGTGAGCAGCAGCTTCAGCAAGTGTCAAAACTGGCATCTCTTCAACATCGTGCCAAGGACTTGATCTACATGCCCACCTTGTAATGCAATTAATCTGACTGACATCATACAGAATTTATCAAGCAGATGTTATGTATCAATGAAAAGCTTAAGAAATGTTACATTTACTCCACTGAATCAAATTACAATTGCACTTCATATGTGTGAATTGATTACTATGAATTTGAGTCCTTATACATAATTAAATTATTATTATAATATTCCTTTCAAAAGTTTGGGGGTCTGTAAGATTAAAAAAAATAATTTAACACTTTTATTCATCAAGGAAGCATTAAATTGATCAATTGAAAGTAAATACATTTATAATGTTACAAAAGTTTCAGATGTTTCAAATAAATACTGTTCTTTTTAACTTTCTGTTTATCAGAGAATCCTGAAAAAAATGTGGTATCCTCAGAAATACTAATATTCAGCATCACAACTGTTTTCAACATTGATAATAATAAGAAATGTTTGAGCAGCAAATCAGCATATTAGAATGATTTCTGAAGGATCATGTAACACTGAAGACTGGAGTAATGATGCTGAAAATTCGGCTTTAACATTACAGGAATAAATGACATTTTAATTTGTAATAATATTTTACAATGTTACATTATTAATGTATTTTTGATATATTTTCAAATAATTGCAGCCATGTTAAGTATGAGAGACTTCATTCAAAAACATTAAAAGATCTTCTCAACCCCAGACTTTGAAAAGTAGCGTGTGATATATATCAAGCCTGGTTGCCATCATTCTGGTCTCCTAATGAGACTGCTATTTGATATTTTCTACAAGCAGAAACTTGCAGGGAAATATAATCCCAGGGATCATTACTAGGAATGAGGGAGAAATGAGATCTGTCCTCATATTAATTACTGTGCCAATAATTGTATATAGGTAAAATTCCCAGTTGTAAAAACACTGTGTTGTGTTTGTTGTAACTGTTCAGTTGGCCCCTGATGGAGAACAGCACCTGGCTTGTGTCCCTGAGGTAATATAAGTTACCTTTACCATAGACTAACATTCTCTTGTTCTCTGCCATCAGCCATGAGGTTCAGGAGTATATTCCCACCCAGCTCTTCAGTCTCCAGCGGCACCAGCAATGGTTAAACATGGTGACCCAGCACATGCAGCAGGTGCAGGCCCTCACTCCTCATCAGGCCAAAGCACAATTTCTAGGTGAGGTGTTGACTTAGGAGAACAGCCAATGTGAAGGCGCACAGCCTTTTATTTAAAACACTGATTGCTGTGCTTGTGTTTCTGTTTCAGGGCTTGTGAGTGCTTATCCCATGTTTGGCTCGTCATTCTTCTACATACAGAGCAGCAGTAATAGTGCTATTGACACCCCATGCATACTGGCTGTCAATCAAAATGGTCTGAACTTTCTAAGAAAAGATACTAATGTAAGTGTAACCCCTTTATTTCCAATGCTTACTAAAAGCCTGTGTAAAAATAAACTCAGGACTTTTTTGCTAGTCTTTTTAGGCTGTATTTCTAAAACGGCAGCATATTTTTAAATAATAGCTGACCAAAGAATTACAATTCTGTCACAATTTAGAAAGTCATATGTTTGAAATGCCATGCGGGTGAGTAAGGCTCATCAAGGCTGCATTTATTTGATAAAAAAAATACAGTAAAACAGTAATATTCTGAGATATTATTTAAATACCGGTAATAAAGGTAATTTATTCCTATAATGTCAAAGCTGAATTTTCAGCATCATTACTCCGATCTTAAACGTCACATGATCCTTCACAAATCATTTTAATATGCTGATTTGTTGCTTTAGAAACATTTATTATTATCTACATTATTATTATTATTATATGTTTGTGCTAGATACAGACTTAAATGACGAGGTTAGAAGTTTTTTGTTGTTTAATTTATACAAATAAAAGTATGCAATTATTCAGTGATTAGATATGCAGTCTGCTTTGACACTGCTAACGTGTCCATTATACTGTATATTTGAAAAGATTTGCAAATTGATCTGCATTTCCTTCTATGATATTATACAACATGGTCACATACTGTATAGACTTTACAGCTGTTTTCAATGTTCTTTAGGAGCCGATGGTGAAGTTTCCGCTGAAGGAGGTCCAGTCCACCCGTACACAGAGGCCCACAGCTGGCTCCAGTTACCCGTATGTGGAGATAATGCTGGGTGACCTAATGTCTCAACGCATTGCACAGTTACAGCTGGACCAGGTATGGACTTTGGACTAAATGAAGGAATATATGATTGCAAATCATCACATAATCTAATTGTGTAATGTCTGGTCATTTTAATGCCCTTTTAAAGTGTGTTGTTAATCTGAGTTGGTCATTTTCACTGGGCCTGTGTGGGCGGAGCTTATTCCTGTGCGTTTGACTTTACAGAGTCTTGAGCTGTGCCGTGTTATCGCCATGCATATGGAGAACCTGCTGTCAGTACGAGAGAAGAGACTTACTCTGCCGCCCAGTGAAATCACTCTGCTCTAGCACCCTTTCTATTATTACTTTTATGGCAATAATTGCAATCAGACACTATTAAACTTCTACACGTCGAAAGCTACCTGTCATTGTTGATAGTGCAGTATGTCTGTTTACAATTTCAAAACCAAGTTCCAGGATTGGCTTGTTATTCACAATACTTTTGCATGCATTCCATTAGATTGAACATATGGGCCCATAATTCAAAACAGTGTAGCACTACCTCTAGTTCTGGACATGTGAAGGTCTTCTCTTAAATACTGATTTGCACTACTTAAGATTATTACATGTTTTAAATATTGATATATTTTTTGTGTCATGTGGATGTGAATGGGAAACTAAATATATGCACAACGAATGCAGGTTTAATATGAAGTCTTTCTAAATAATAATAATAATAAAAAATCACAACTGGCCTGTGTTTTCCCCGAATGTGTATTATTTATTTACATTAGATGCACAGTTTGAGGAATCATGAAACATTGTTAGTACATTGAATAATATTAACAAATGTTTGTAAAAAAAAAAAAGAAGCAAACTATGTAACTTAATTCATGTGACCAAAAGTTATGGTCAGCTTTATTATTTTTAAATAAAACTAAAACTATTAACCACATTTTTGTTAATTGAAATAAATAAAAATTCAATACAAAACAATAAAATTCAATAAAATAAAAAAATATAAATATAAATATTACATGAAAATCTAAACAAACATTTTAAATGTTGCGTGGGCAGCTAACAGAAATAAGTTTATGCTAAAGCACTAAAATTGCTAAATGGGAATAAATAAATAACAACATTAAAAAGTGAAATAAAACTAAAACTTATAAAAAATAATTTAAACCTAAATAGTAATGTTTAAAATAACGATAATAATAATCAAAATTACAAATATATATATATATATACAATTAAAAATTAAACTAAATTTAAAAGGAAACGTAAAAATAAAAGTTAATTAAAAATATTAATAAAAACTTGAATAGTATATAAATAATACTAAAATAGCATGTTTTGATTGGCTGGTCTCTCCACGCAATGAAACTGAATGGCTACCAGGCAATTCAAACGTGTAAGTAAAACTAATCCAGCCGACTCCTGATCCGTGTTTTCCACACGCACGCTGGTCGTGGGCGTGGTTTGGTGAATTGGTCACAGATTCTTGGCTTCTGATTGGCTCTCCTAAGACGTGGTTCCTGTGAACTTGCCCTGTGGTCAAACTGCATAAACACACAGCTGAAAACTTGCACGGCTTGAGGAGTGGATACAAAAGAAACTGGAGCTTGCATGAAGGATCACATTGTTGCTCTGCACCGATTCACGCCTAACGGAATTGATATCATTCTGAGACGGCGCGGGCTGTGATATTTCTCTGATTCGGCTTCAGGATGATGAAGTTCAGGTTCAGACGGCAGGGGAACGACCCTCATCGTGAGAAAATCAAGCAGGATCTGTTTGCATTCAGTAAGGTATGTGGGATATATACTGTAGCGTTGGGTCTCCTCTCGAGCATGCATGCGGTTTCGGGTTGCATTGAAATCGATTAAAAGAACATATAATTCAAGCAAATGTATTCACAAATGATTTCTTATTTCAGTAATTTCCTCTTTATTAACATGCAGTTGCTAATATGGCAATGTTTTACAACTATCATGGCCAGATATGACAATATAAGCGCATGAAAGTTGTTTGAAACAGTTATTGCTTTTATACATAGCAAGCTTTTCTTTTTGGTTAGTGCACAGTTATACTTTTATAGCTTCAAGAGAATGACTGAGAAATGTGTTGCTTTTGCGTGTAATATATTTATCTTCATCAATGGAGCTCATTAAATCAGATCGGGCGTGTTGTCTATTGTGAGTGAGCTCAAAGTTTTCTTGTGTTTGTAACTTTAACCGTTACGAACGACTGACTGATTGTTTGTTTGTTTGTTTGTTTGTTATTGAGCCTTGAATGTGTCCTGCAGTTGTAGGGTGAGGATTTGTAGAGCTCTCTGTAATGAGGCTGCTCTTAAATCATAATGAACACGTTACTGCTCTCTTGCCAAAAACATAGAAAGAGATTGATTGTAGGCTTTTTACTGATGACCAAACTCTGGCACTATTACAGCACAATCAAACATTGCTACTCCTCCTCTTCAGTGTAAAGCAAAACAGGAGGAAATGGGAGATACCATATTATGCATGTTTTACAGTATTAAAGTCCTCGCTTTTGTTCATTCCTCAAATGCTGCTGATTTATCCACTGATGGTTTAGGAAAACGGAGAGTGTGTAATGTGTAATGTTACAGGAAGGTCTTGTTATTTATCATGCCACACTTTGTCAACCTGTGAAAAGAGATCTGCATCATTCGGCCAACTTCAAGCCTGCTTAGATTTGTGTGTTGATTTAAGGTGACATTTTTAAAATTGCCCAGAAAACCCGTTTCTGCAAAGCACTTTTGATAGCTTTGATGCTCCAATGTCTGTCAAATCTACTAGATTTGCTTCCTGGCTATTTCTGGTTCTGCATTTTATTTGTTATTTTTTTTTTGTAAAAACAAGGAAATCCCCTTCCTGACAAGACTGCACTGAATAGAGCTACTGCATTGTTAATTGTAGCATCAGGGCTCATTAGAGGTCAATGAAGTATGAATTGGTTTCTTTTTTTTTGAGCTCAGCAGGAAAAGAGGGATTTCAAATGTCTGTATGATGTACATAACATGTGAGTTTATGTTCTGAATGTGTGATTTTCCTCTTCTCTTCTTTTTACTCAGACAGTTGAACATGGATTCCCAAACCAGCCAAGTGCTTTGGCCTATGATCCCAAACGGCAGCTTTTGGCCATTGGAACTAAATCAGGGGCCATGAAAATGTATCCTTTTGTGAGTGCTTTACTCAAATGGAACGAATAATGTAGTGGATTGTCTTTTGTTAATATGCACTACTGTTCAAATGTTTGGGGTCAGTAAAAGTCACAGTAAAGAATTTTACATTGGTAAAAAAAAAATGTTGATTTCAAATAATTGCTGTGCAAAATTCTCTATTCATCAAAGAATCTTAAAAAATGTATCAGTTTCCACAAAAATAAGAAGCAGCGCTACTGTTTTTTACTTATAATAGGAAATGTTATTTGAGCAGCAGTTCAGTATATTAGAATGATTTCTGAAGGATCATGTTACACTGAAGACTGGAGTAATGATGCTGAAAATGCAGCTTTGCATCACAGGAATACATTACATTTGAAAATGGATTGAAATAGAAAAGTTGTTTTAAATTGTAATGCTATTACAATACAATTGTAATGCTATATTTTACAATGTCACTGTTTTTACTGTGTTTTTGATCAAATAAATGCCGCCTTGCTGAGCAAAAGAGACTTAATTCAAGAACATTAAAAAACCTTAATGACCCCAAACACTTGAACAGAGGTATATTTACATCTAAGTTTGTACACACCTTCTCTGTTGTTTATCTTACCCATTCAAATAATAAATTAAGCATAATAATAAATTAAACATTACAAAATAATGAAAATAAAAGAATGGGAATTAAGTTGACAAAATTAAGACGAAACAAAGTTAATTAAGATTCTTAAATTTAAGATTTAAGAAATGATGTATTTATTTGTGTAACAATTTTGTAAGTAGCCACTGTTTGTGTAGATTACAGTGATTCTCTAAATTGGCTTTGAGAGCTGCAGCCATAATGCTAAACCAGTTTTAAAAGGAATTCATATATAGGTGCAATTTGTACTTATGTCTGTATAATAATAATGAAAATAAAAGAATGGGAATTAAGTTGACAAAATTAAGACGAAACAAAGTTAATTAAGATTCTTAAATTTAAGAAATGATGTATTTATTTGTGTAACAATTTTGTAAGTAGCCACTGTTTGTGTAGATTACAGTGATTCTCTAAATTGGCTTTGAGAGCTGCAGCCATAATGCTAAACCAGTTTTAAAAGGAATTCATATATAGGTGCAATTTGTACTTGTGTGTGTCCAAACTTTTGTGAGAACCACTGGCATTTTACATTAACACCAACTTCTTAAGCGTTATAATATTAAACTCTTTACATCCTTCATAAAATGTTGGGAAAGATTTGGTCATTTTTATTTAGATCAATGATACAATGCAGTGAGTGAATGTCCTAGTTTATGGTTCACTGATTCTGATTAATTACTCTGGATGTATGGCTCTGTTGTGTTGAAGACTTGAGTCATCTGCGTTTGTACACAATGTGACTCATTACATGTTGTGCTAGTCCTCTAAAACTTGGTACTTTGAAAATAAACTTTTCTAAATTGTTATAATTATACTCGACACTGTCCAGGCCTGAATGTTTGAGTCTGTAGTGGGTATAAGGAATGTTTAGGAGGATACTATCAGAATAAAGTGTCGGAGACTCCTTTGGTGAGCTGTTATTATCTAGTCCTCCTGGACTGGACAGGTCAGACAGGCCAAGTATCATGGAATACGTCCGACATTCTTTCACAGTCATGCTTGCTTTTTTTTCTGTGATGGAAGCTGAGATACAGGCTGGATCAGTGATATTATGGTGATTGTGATGCACAGTACAGGTCTTTGAGCTTTGGGAGGCTGGTAGTGTCAGGCACAGCCCAGCTGAGCGATGCTCATTCTGCAGCCTTGACTCACTCGGGGGTGGGGTGGGGTGGTGGGGGGCGCTAGATGCGGATGGCCTGATCTGACAACCTGCCACTAATGCCTCGTCCATCAGACAAGAAGACTCATGATGGAGAGAGGACAGGGACTGGTCGGTGTAAATAAAGGAGCTGTTCTGAGGTTGAGTAATGAGAGGTTTGGCTTTGAAAGCATTTCCTCTGATTGGGTGTTGAAGTGGGTGTGATGAGAGATCAAAGTTTGGTTTACCCAGTCTGACTCCATTTTTTTTTTGGATGTCTTTGAATAACATTTGGGAATATAGTATTAGTTTAGTGTTGGCGAATTTCTCTCTTCTGTCGTTAAGAGTTCTCTTTGAGAGACTTATAAGTTCTGTTCAGGCATTTCTTCATTATTTTTTAATGAGGAAAGCTAAATGACTTGATGTCACGCTAGCTTGTTTTGTGAAGAATTCTGCGGAATGGATTTAAACATGGTGCAGTTATGCTAAAGAATAATCAAATTAGGCAAAATATTTAATAAACCAGGGGATCCCAAAACTTTTTATGTTAGGACCCAGCTAGAGAGCTATGATCATTCTCAAGATCCACTGAAAATGTTTTTACATGCAGCCTGTGAAGAAAAACGATACAGGAAACACAAGTTATGCCCACCAACAAACTTGTTAATTTGACATGAGCTACTCTTACACTTTGCAGTAACCACAATTTAAAAACTGTTGTAATTAACATTCATAGAATCGGTGGGGGATGTGTACTGCATTGTGAAATTAAGGTCTTTCCAGTTCTGTGAAAATATGATGATTTGTATGCGTGTTGAGTCCATGTCAGCCTGCTTATGTCTCTCAAACTGCACTTCTGTCTTAAATTCATTTCGTGCAAGGGAGACCCAGTGATTCCAGACTCTTTTCCTATGGGTCATGCGTAAACTTGTGCTGAATCAATAGCCAGATACTGTTGGGTCATTATCCTAGTCTAACAGGCGCCATTTATACTTTTAATAGAGATGCATTCATATAAATTTCCACAGTCCTCGGATTTGTATGAATCATATGGATGCATGGCTTGTTTGTTTCAGTGTGAGAATGGCACATTTTTATGAAAGGCAATGAATTTGCCAGCATGTTTATTTCTTCAAATAACAGCTGTAAAGTATTAAACGTTTAGTGTGCCAGAAGGGAATTATTAGTCATAAATTGTGAAATCTAATTTACAAGAGGAGGAGCAGCACATCTACATCCCAATGTTAACTGACCTTTCGCAAAGACCTTAGTTACTGTTGCTACGTCTGACAAGCCATGCCACACATCATGTTCTCACACAGTGAAAAATACATTGTGGAGCAAAGAGGAAACTGATAACACGCTGACAGACAAGACATGGCCAGTTACTTTTGGTAATAAACAAAGTCTCAGCTTTCAAATTTTGTCTCTTTTTAAAAAAAAAAGAAATTCCAACAATAAATACCAAATAAATACTGTTTTGTGGCTCTTTAATGTGTTGTGCCAGGTTGCTGGAGCGCCTCGGTTCAAGTGGCACATGAACTGATTTTCTCTTCCTCTTTACTAATTGTTATACCACGAAATAAACATGAATGAACATCAGAAGGTATTTAATTTACTGCAGAAAGACATGAATACGCACCACTTTAAAGTTCAAGTCCAAATTCCCGGCAAAGAGTGAATTAATCCACCATCCGTTTTTTGTTGTTAATTTTGTGAGCTTGAAGACACTTGTACAAATGCGGATGGGTGACATGAATGGAAATGATTCCAGATTGGCGATGTAATATTTGGTTTCTGTATTCTGTACTGTATTTTCCTGAGCTCAAACCTTCCAATCTAAAGGATCAAATGCCATGTATGGTAATTTGTGAATCAGCATAGACTTATAGTCTAAATAAAACAATTTGCAAATGTTACTATTATTACACTTGTATACAAAACTTTGTATTATGCTTGTTATAGAGTGTGTGACGTCACGTGCACTGCGGTTGTCACGGCGACCGTCACAGCCCTACTGTGCAATGATGTAGTTTCCTGACATCCAGACTGAACAGCGTTTTCTCGACATGTTACCTTGTTGTTGTTTCTCAGCAATGTCATGGACGCGATGTTGTCTGGGGGTTTGGCAAAAGGAGAGTGGGACTGGGACTAATGTAAACTATTAATACTGTATGCATGCCAAATAAATACAAGCTGCTTTCACGTGTGAAACAAGCCCAGGGCCGTCACGACTAGTACCAAAACAACACTAGTGGGAGAACTAATTGACTAATCAGCACAACCCTTACAGGGTTTTTCTGCCTCTTAATTTAACACATTTATTTGTATTTGGTATTAATCATCTGCCAAGAATATTACTAGATGTACTCTTTGTATGTGTTCTTTCACACGCATTAATGTCTGAAGTTGCTCTCCCGTGTTAATTATGCCACTAATGTGCTGTGACTTTTAAAGGAGAGTTATTCTCCGTTATCATTATCATGGAGGTGTAAAAAAAAAATTAGAGTAGAACCAGTCACACACACACAACGCTCGGATCAGCACTTCCGTGATATAATTCTTGGTAGATCTTCAAAATGTCAGTCATCTTTCCTATCATTGGTTTTCTTCTCAATCAAGCGCAGTAGCTCTGCGTAAGTGGATCTGTATGCATGGAGTCCTATCCTAGAGCACTAGCTATCCATTTTCCTCTCCTAGCGGCAGTACTGCAGCTCTCTGATCTGAGCCAGGTAGTTTGCATCTATGCCACTGCAAACAATCAAACATTTGTCTGGTCTAGAGGCATAGCCTTATCATAACTTTTAGTTTGGCAGATTGCCTTATGAAAGACTGATGCTCTCACATTTCACATTCTCACATAGGGATGTCCTCTCTTCTGATTGAACAGCTGAGGAAACACTCCCAATGCCTCTTCATAGGTTCATTCATAACTACTCTATCTTTTGCTGGAGCCGTTTCTTCCTGATGGTTTTAGATGGTGCTGCAGAGGGAAGCTCAAATGTCTCTCTGCATATCTTTTCTCTCATGTGTCTCAACCTAAAGCCATTAGTATTCTGTTGTGAGTCTCACGGACACACACAGGGAGCTCAAAATCAGTCCCCTTCCCCCCTGTAGTGCACTTCTGTGGCCGGTAAGCAATCTATAGTCCTTTGGAAACTCGAATAGTGAAGAAGACTCATCGAGTTCTGTTTTATGCTCATTGCAGCCAAACCTTTCTACTTAAAGGGCCTCCATTTGTTTGTGAATTGTGGCAAGTTACTGGACGGGAAAGGGCTTGCTTGTGACTTCTTTTATAAGGACCTTCGCCTGTTTTGAAAATAAGCAGAACAGGCGCTGGAATCTCCTTCCAGTCATCTAATCAGTTGTGACATGAACTGAAAATGGCCATGCACTATGGGTAACACAAAGTTCACGGTTCAGTCTTTGTTAATAAAATTGCAGTGTCTAGAAATGCTTACCAAGCCAAAGTTCAAAAGCTTCATCATTTGCTTTTTTTTCTTTTTAGAAGGAATCTCAAATTGCATTTATATATCTCAAACAGATGATACTTTTGAGCAGTGTTCTATGAAATTATCAAGTGTATTTGAAACATTGTGCGTTTTGGATCTCAAAAATGGTGGATACTACATTTCAGTGTAAACCGTCTGGCTTTCGTCCATCATTCTTTTTGAGCTGATTTGGATGCCTTCACTAGCTTAAAATGCATGTTCTTTGTCTCTTGAGAATATCAGGTTCTGTTTTGAGTGTCTGCTTGTTACTTCCAGTGGAAACATTAGTATTCCTGTGAGACATGTAGCTGAAGGAAATTAATTCTGAATGTAGAATTCAGAGCGTTTCTGAAAGACGCTATGAGTGAGGATGTGAAGGTCTCTTAAATTAGATTGTGTACACACAAAAGCCTGCAAAACGAGGATGGAATTTCCGGTTTCAAATGTCGCAATAAGTCTTAAAAAAAAATTTCACCACACGGTTTGCTTCTCCGTGTCAACAAACCAAAACCATTCTGTGCCCTGCTCCGAGTGCAGCCTAGAGACCTGCATACCTGCGGGACCCCACGCATCAGAGTGCAGCGCGGGACAAGACTTGATGTGCGAGTGTGGGTGCGGGCAGGTAGACGCTCGTGTGTGTGTGTGTGTAGGTAGACGGTCGTGTGTGTGTGTGCAAGATGCGAGAGAATAAAATGATTTGTGGGACTCCCGCAAAATAGAAATATTCAATCATAAAATATCTAATAAATAAATTGTTATTCATGTATTGCACAAAAGCAACAAGTTTCTATTTCTAACGCGATTGCAGCATTATAATAATAATTTGTGCTCACGAATCCTCTAATTATATGGAATTTCCGGTGTCAAATGTCGCAATAAGTCTTAAAAAAAAATTTCACCACACGGTTTGCTTCTCCGTGTCAACAAACCAAAACCATTCTGTGCCCTGCTCAGAGTGCAGCCTAGAGACCTGCATACCTGCGGGACCCCACGCATCAGAGTGCAGCGCGGGACAAGACTTGATGTGCGAGGGTGGGTGCGGGCAGGTAGACGCTCGTGTGTGTGTGTGTGTGTAGGTAGACGCTCGTGTGTGTGTGTGTGTGTGTGCAAGATGCGAGAGAATAAAATGATTTGTGGGACTCCCGCAAAATAGAAATATTCAATCATAAAATATCTAATAAATAAATTGTTATTCATGTATTGCACAAAAGCAACAAGAACTAATATAAAATAAAAAAGATTAACAGGCGCAAGTATAGGCAGAGTTTCTATTTATAACGCGATTGCAGCATTATAATAATAATTTGTGCTCACGAATCCTCTAATTATAACACACGAAGTGTAGACATTATGAAAGATTCATTGTGCATATATTCATTGTGTTATAACAGAGCTTTGTGTGATTGCGATGAACTGAGATGTCTGCTTTTTTGTGATCATAAAGTGAGCTCTCTTTGCTCGCATTCTGCTAGGCCAAACCATGCACGCAGCAGCCCATGCTTGCTTTTCTGTTTAAAATAACAGTGGTTTGTGAATGTTGATGCTTTAATAACAAATATTTTATCAGGAGCGTTTATGCTGGGATGTTGTGGAGCTTACAGGATGTTTGCCCCCCCTTTGGTGATGAACTTTTTTTTTTTTTTTTGGTAACCTCACTTATTGTGTCCATTTTCTCCCTTTCTCTATCTTCCCATTTTCGCTGCCTATTGTGCAGGAGCATGATGTAATTCTTAAGAATGGAGTGGAGCTGATCAAAGGTCAGCTTCACTGTCATTCTGTGGACTTTCTCCAATGCAGCTCAATTTATATTGTGTATTGCTCCATCCTTTAGAGGTTGTGTTCATATTATCCTGTATTGTTGTTGTTGTTGTTAATAAATATATATATATATATATATTTTTTTTTTTTTGTTCTTTAGCTTAAGTGGTATTGCATAGTGCAACACCAAGGTCGTGGGTTTGATTCCCAGTGAATACCAGACCTAATAAAAGCATCTGCCAAATGTGTTAATAGAAATGACAGAGAATTTTTTTTTTTTTTTACCTCCATGATAATGAGAATGAAAGTTCTATGAAAAGCAAGCTTTATTCCTTGAATGCATTTACATGTACAAAATCATCCACTAACTTGACCTTTCATGTTGTCGGGTTATTGAGCATAATTGGTGTAAGATGTTACACGTTTCCCAGCTTTTGAACCTTTCATTGTGTAGTGTTTTTTTGGGGCATATGAGCCCCTTCTGCAAATAACAGTATGCCTGTTCACGTGTGACATAATGGAGATGCTGCCATGGCAACCAAGGGGACTTCAGAATGGAGCAGTTCGTCTGGGGTGCCGTTTCAAGAGCCTGGTTGTGTAAGACATTATGGACTTGATTAGGCAGCAGCTGAAGTGGCTCTGAGTGCTGTGTGTGAGGTGGCAGGGTGACGTGAGGCAGTGCCACACAGTCTGAGCTTTTGTTCTGGACTCAGTCGAGCTGACGGTGTGTCCTGTGCTTCCCTCGTACCATGACTGCATCTCTTCTCGTTAGTCTGAATCAGATGTACCTACCCTGCCTCACGAGCAAGTTTGCAGAGAGAAGTGGCCTGTGTTCAGATTAATCATGATGTCCAGTCCAACCCTTTCTAAGTGAATCCGAAAAACAATGACTTTTGTGTCCATATAACAAAAATGCATGCTTTAAAGTATTGGTTTATTATTCAATATTACAATGAAATAAAAATATAATAAAACAAAAAAAAGTTTTCATAAAAATATTGATTTTAAAAAAAGTTTGGTTGAGGTCTGAACCTGGGTCTCTTTAAATGTTAAATAATTTTGTATTTTTCTTGAAGTGAAACAACATTGCAGCTGGTGCCCCCCTCAATAAACAAAAATAAAATAAACTGTTTGAAAATGTAATTCTACTGTTATTTAACATACTTAATTCAATTTTTTGTGTGCAAATATATACATTTTTTTTGCTCTTTGGTCAAATAATGGCACTTGATTCCAGACACGCTCATGCTCTTTTTTTTGTTTATTTTTATTTATTTATTTTTTAAAGAGCTGCTCTCTTTCACCAAGGCCTGCTGAATTGAGGTATTCTGAGGATGTCTCTTTCTTCCTGCAGAGTTTGGATTGTTTTATGTGAATCAGATTTGACCTAGATATCCACTCTTTTGTTATGAGAGTGGAAGGCTGTGTAGTTTCATAATGAAAAGCAGACTACAAGAGCCGTCCAGAAATCATTTGAGCAACGGCCTCTTCAAGAAAAGCACAATAGACTTTGCCAACTGCTGTTGATGTCAAACTGAAAAAGAGAAGTGGGAGTTTTCTCCTCATTCTGGAGACATTTACAATCAGATTGATTGTGGGCCAGTCGTTTTGATTTTATTTTGGCTCCGTTCTTAGTAATTAGTTCAGTGGGCTGTTTAATGAGCATTATATGACTGTAATTAATTCCCTCAGAGAATCCCTCTGTTTCATGAGTTTAAGTCATTACACGGTGTTGCTTGAATTTTTTTACCACATTAACATTTTTAGCTTTGATTGGCTTGATTCCCTTCGACTTGATTGCCCAAGAATGAAAGTATGGGCCTGCAAGATATTGTGATCCATTGGAGCTAAGATGTGGCAAAAAGTGTCTTAAGTAGGGCTGCAACTAATCGATAAAATCAGTAATGAAAATAATCAAATAAATGTAAATTTGATTAGTCTCATGTTACACAAACATCACGATTTTGCAAAAACTGAGACTTTAAGACAGTATACATTGTTCAATTAAATTGACTTCACATTACTTTTACAGTAAAGTCATTACTTTGTAACATTTTAGATTTTAAACCATATTTATCCACCGTGTATATCAAGCATTTATAAAGATGTTGTTTTAAGAGTGTAAAAACGGATACTTGATCAATTGAAAAAAACAATCAAATCAATTATCAATAATCAATTATTGAAGCTTTTTCCCTTGAGGTAGTATGTTCCCAAATCAGATAGGAAAACTTGGAATGCAACACTGTAAAATATTCCTTGACTTCGCATTAAGATATGGTGCTCCTGGGGTGGAGATGACTGGACTTCATAAAGACACTGCTGCCGTCACTCAGATACATTTCCTCTATGGACAGGTAAGACCATGTTTCAACCATTGTAGCTTATTAGGTGTTGGTGTGTGTGTGTTATTGAAGTTGTAGAGGTCTTTTATTTTGAAAGTTACCATTTGAACAGTTGTGTCTTTAAACCATGAGTTTTTTTTCTGTTTATAGGGGAGGATACTTTCTTTGTTGGATGATAACACCATTCACCTATGGGAGATTGTGCAGAGAGAAAACCGCTCGCATTTAGTGGAGGTTCATAGCTTCAACCTGCCTGGCAGGCCAGGCATCGAGAGCACCAGGTAAGGTTTTGTT